GGGTATTTCATGAAGGGAGGGTTGTTTGGGGCATAGTCCGGGTATTGAATGAAGGAAGTGTTGTTTGGGGCACAGTCCGGGTATTGAATGAAGGAAGGGTTGTTTGGGGCACAGTCTGTGTATTTAATGAAGGGAGGGTTGTTTGGGGCATACTCCGGGTATTTTATGAAGGGAGGGTTGTTTGGAGCACAGTCCCGGTATTTTATGAAGGGAGGGTTGTTTGGGGCACAGTCCGGGTATTTTATGAAGGGAGGGTTGTTTGGAGCACAGTCTGGGTATTGAATGAAGGGAGGGTTGTTTGGGCACAGTCCGGGTATTTTATGAAGGGAGGGTTTGTTTGGGGCACAGTCCGGGTATTTTATGAAGGGAGGGTTGTTTGGGGCACAGTCCGGGTATTGAATGAAGGGAGGGTTGTTTGGGGCACAGTCCGGGTATTTAATGAAGGGAGGGTTGTTTGGGGCACAGTCCGGGTATTTCATGAAGGGAGGGTTGTTTGGGGCACAGTCCGGGTATTGAATGAAGGAAGGGTTGTTTGGGGCACAGTCCGGGTATTGAATGAAGGGGGGGTTGTTTGGGGCACAGTCCGGGTATTTTATGAAGGGAGGGTTGTTTGGAGCACAGTCCGGGTATTGAATGAAGGGAGGGTTGTTTGGGCACAGTCCGGGTATTTTATGAAGGGAGGGTTGTTTGGGGCACAGTCCGGGTATTTTATGAAGGGAGGGTTGTTTGGGGCACAGTCCGGGTATTTCATGAAGGAAGGGTTGTTTGGGGCACAGTCCAGCTATTTCATGAAGGGAGGGTTGTTTGGGCACAGTCCGGGTATTTTATGAAGGAAGGGTTGTTTGGGGCACAGTCCGGGTATTTCATGAAGGGAGGGTTGTTTGGGCACAGTCCGGGTATTTCATGAAGGGAGGGTTGTTTGGGCACAGTCCGGGTATTTCATGAAGGGAGGGTTGTTAGGGGCACAGTTCCTATGTGTTTGTTTAGGGAATGTAGTATGTGTTTGCTTACAAGGAATCTAGTGTGTAATGTGTGAGATTCCAGAGTGTGTATGTAGGTGGTGCAGTGTGTGTGTGTGTGTGTGTGTGTGTAGGTGATGTAATGTGTATTTAGAGGACCCCGAGTGTTTATAGGAGATCTAGTGAGTGTGTGTGTACAGGATCCAGAGTTGGGTAAGGCATCTAGTGTGTGTCTGGAATGTAATGTGTTTAAGGGTGCAGTATGTGTGTAAGGGTGCAGTGAGTGTGTGAGGGGTTCTGTAGTATAGATACGTATATGTTTGGAAGTATTGTGTGTGTGTGAGTGGTGCAGTGTACTGGGGTTGCTGTATGTATGTGTGAGGGGTGTAGTGTTTGTGTGAGGGGTGTGCTGTGTGTAAAGAATGCTGTGTATGTATGGGGGGGTGCTGTGTGAGTGTGTGAAAGTAGTGCAGTGTGTGTGCTGTGTGTGCTGTGTGTGCGTGAGGGGTGCAGTGTGTTTGCGTGAGGAGTGCATCGTGTGTGCGAAAGGAGTGCAGTGTCTGTGCGAGGGTGCTGTGTGTGTGAGGGTGCTGTGCAGTGGCGTACATACCGCGGTCGCAGGGGTCGCAGCTGCGACCGGGCCCAACCCACCAGGGGGCCCTGCCACCCTGCGACCGGGTATGTATGCCAGTGTGGCCAGCCTCTTCTCCTGGGGGGCCCAGGAGCAAGCCACCTCAGGGCCCCCCAAGGCTGGCCCTGGTGTCACCGGGCGGGCGGGTGCACAAGGGAGCACTCCCCCCTGAGCGCTCTCTGTCCAGCTCCCTCACGCACTACACTGATGCCGGAGCCGGAATATGACGTTTGTAAGTGAGTGTGTACGTGTGTCTGTCTGTCAGTGAGTGTGTATGTAAGTCTGTCACTGAGTGTGTGTCTCTGTCAGTAAATGTGTGTGTCTGTTAGCTAGTGTGTATGCGTCTGTTGTGTGTCTGTGTGTGTGTGCTTAAAACCCCTTCAGCACTTACCTTTCTCCAGCGCCGGACTCCTTTCTCCAGTGCCGGACTCCCAAGGGCCATGCGCGTATTTAAACCACCCATAGGAAAGCATTACTCAATGCTTTCCTATGGACGTCCAGCGTCAGTGAGACAGCCACTAGAGGCTGGATTAACCCTCAGTGAAACATGTTTTCAGCTGCAGGGTTAAAACTAGAGGGACCTGGCACCCAGACCACTTCACTGAGCTGATGTGATCTGGGTGTCTGTAGTGATCCTTTAAGTGTATGTGTATCTGCATGCACTGGTGTACATACCGCGGTTGCAGGGGTCGCAACCCTGCCACCAGGTGCCTGCCGCCATGTGCTGCGGCCTGGCCCGCGCAGAGTAAGCACGGGGGGGCCCCACGGATCAATTTTTGCACCGGGGCCCCATGGGTCGTGTGTACGCCACTGGTGCTGTGTGTGAGGGATGTAGTGTGTGTGTGAGGGGAGCAGTGTGTGAGTGAGGGGTGCAATGTGTGTGTGAGTGAGGGGTGCAGTGTGTCTGTACTGTGATCTGACCAGACTTCACACACTCTGTACTATGACCTCAAACCCCACATACTCTGTACTATAGTGTTACCAGAACTCACATACTCTGTACTGTGACCTCACCAGACCCCACACACTCTGTGCTGTCTCCTCACCAGACCTCACACACTCTGTACTGTGACCTCACCAGACGTCACACACTCTGTACTATGACATAACCAGACCTCACACACTCTGTACTGTGACATTACCAGACCTCACACACTCTGTACATTACCAGACCTCACACACTCTGTACTATGACATTACCAGACCTAACACACTCTGTACTATGACATTACCAGACCTCACACACTCTGTACTGTGACCTCACCAGACGTCACACACTCTGTACTATGACATAACCAGACCTCACACACTCTGTACTGTGACATTACCAGACCTCACACACTCTGTACATTACCAGACCTCACACACTCTGTACTATGACATTACCAGACCTAACACACTCTGTACTATGACATTACCAGACCTCACACACTCTGTACTGTGACCTCACCAGACCTCACACACTCTGTACTGTGACGTTACCAGATCTCACACACTCTGTACTGTGACGTTACCAGATCTCACACACTCTGTACTATGACATAACCAGACCTCACACACTCTGTACTATGACCTCACCAGATCTCACACACTCTGTACTATGACCTCACCAGATCTCACACACTCTGTACTGTGACGTTACCAGATCTCACACACTCTGTACTATGACATAACCAGACCTCACACACTCTGTACTATGACCTCACCAGATCTCACACACTCTGTACTATGACCTCACCAGATCTCACACACTCTGTACTGTGACGTTACCAGATCTCACACACTCTGTACTATGACATAACCAGACCTCACACACTCTGTACTATGACCTCACCAGATCTCACACACTCTGTACTATGACCTCACCAGATCTCACACACTCTGTACTGTGACGTTACCAGATCTCACACACTCTGTACTATGACATAACCAGACCTCACACACTCTGTACTATGACCTCACCAGATCTCACACACTCTGTACTATGACCTCACCAGATCTCACACACTCTGTACTGTGACGTTACCAGATCTCACACACTCTGTACTATGACATAACCAGACCTCACACACTCTGTACTGTGACCTCACACACTCTGTACTGTGACATAACCAGATCTCACACACTCTGTACTATGACGTTACCAGACCTCACACACTCTGTACTATGACATAACCAGACCTCACACACTCTGTACTGTGACCTCACCAGATCTCACACACTCTGTACTATGACATTACCAGACCTCACACACTCTGTACTGTGACCTCACCAGATCTCACACACTCTGTACTATGACGTTACCAGACCTCACACACTCAGCGTTGTGATCTCACACACTCTGTACTGTGACCTCACCAGATCTCACACACTCTGTACTTTGATGTTACCAGACCTCACACACTCTGTACTGTGACCTCACACACTCAGCGTTGTGACCTCACACACTCTGTACTATGATGTTACCAGAGCTCACATACTCTGTGACCTCACCACATCCCACACTTTGAGGGTTATTTAAGAAGAATTAGCTGTTTGGTTCATAGAGCAGAATATGGCCCTATTTCATGATTTGTCTCCCCGATGGCTTTTCATCTTTTACCACAAACATACAGAGGAATACAGAGCTCGATCTGTCAGAAGAAAACACAATGCAAAACTAATTATGTTTATTTTCTCAATAAATATGGCACAGTCTATTTTTTCTCCTGAACTGTCCCAGTTTGCAGCGTGCACTCCTGTCTATTTCAGTAGCGGTTGCTGAAACTTAAACCTGTGCTTCTAGGAAAAGCGAGGATGCTCACGCCAAGCTCTTCTTGTAGTATATGTGGACGGATGAGCCACTCTGTCTTTATTGATTACAATCAGCCTCACCGTGCTTGCTGCTATAATGACATTATTTAATACGGCGCCGTACTTTAGGCAAGATTTTTATTTTTGTGATCATTGCAAGTGCTGCAAAGTCATTCTTATTACAGTAAATTTTTGAATCTTTTAGGTTTTGAAAATGAAAGGTCATCACGTGAGTCCAATTCCTTCTGTTATGCCAGATTAGTTCTTTTAACCACATATTTGTGTAATTTCTTTGTACTTTAAAAATTAACGCACACTGCCTCATTTCTTTTGAATCGGACAACATTAGCGACAAGTTACGTTCAGTTTGTAGGCCTTTGTGTAAAATAGTGAACAGCTTACACTCGTAACAATGAGTCGTCGGTCCTGCGTTCTTTACAAAAATGGCCAACTGCCTGAATCAATCCTTGCGGCCGAGCTGCCCACACAGTGATACCCCTGCCAGTGTACCCGTTCTGCTCCTAGGAAGGGCAACTTATTTTTCTCTTATCCTGACGCGTGCCTGCCCACCCTGTATAGAAGTCATGCCAACGTCACATATCAGCTGCCAACCTCGCCCCCATTCCTTTGCAGAGGTAATGCCACTTGATGGATTCATCATAGATAACTTTTACGGACAAGTTCTGATGTCAGGCAGGTTCTCGAACAACGAGGAAATTCTGATCGCTCTTAGTAAATGCCTAGAAAGCTAAGAGAAAGAATAAGAACATAGCAGGATTACTGCAAATCCTGATCCTTTTCTCATTTCTCCTTTGGAATAAGGCAGATCATTGTTACAGCATGAAAGCAGGGCAGGATTGGGGGCAGGACTGACTCCAGCTTTGATTGTAAAGTAGAATGTGTGGATTCTATTCCTCTCCAGGGCTGGGATCTGACATCACAAGAGCCTGTTGCTTCCACACGCCAGGTTTCCATGTAGCAAGCAGCTGCCTCCCTCACCTAGTCGGATGAAGGAATATGCTGAGAACCTTCCATTCCTAGTTACATGTCGGAGATCCTTAGAGACACCTCCCAGGGCTGAGGAAGGATGGGAAGGGGAGTTGGCATCTAGCAGACAGTCCCCCCCCTCATTATTTCCAATACAACCTAAACACAGACACCCACTCGCTCCCTGTGCCATGTCTGCCAGCTCTCTGAATACCAACTACGAGCCCATTCTGCCCTGCCAACTCCTGCCAGGTGCCAGTCTCACATACAGTGCTATGTTCGCAGCCTGGCAGGGATTCTGAGACCCCCCGAGCTTGCAGTAACCATGCCGGGGTCTGGATTTTCAGAGAAGAAGCTCTTCAGGTAAAACAGATCCAGGGGGATAATTTCCAGGAGGATTTTCATGGCACACGGCTGCCAGCTGTTCGGCATGGGCTCTTGCATTTCCAAAGGTGAGTTGGGGGGGGGAGCAGGGGCAAAGTTGGACAATGGTTAAGCCACGGGCAGCCCTGGGAGTTGAAAAGCAGAAGTGATGTGGAGGGCACACCTCTGCTCCTAAAAGGGTTAATGTCTCTGTCACAAGCAATCTGCTTTTATTGACAGCTGGGTGAGCGTGCCATGTTTCTATAGGGAGTAAATTAAACAGGGGCTCTAATGTCAGCAGCAAGTCCCAGCTTTACAAAGTGGATTAATTAACCTGGCAATTCCCTTTGTAAACAGCTAATGAACTGGGCAGTGGGTTAAACACAGGCAAATCTTTGGCTTGTTAAAGTCACCCACAAATGTTTTCTTTCAAATTGCTATGTAAAGGTTGGAGAGCCTGTGGGCCCCAGAATGTGGGATTTGGGGGCCCATGTGGTTTATTTTCTAGAGTTTTAGATATAAATATAAAAATAGAGGAGTAAGGATGTACTGCTGTTGTATGGAGAGAGAGGGCTGTATATAGGCATGGGGGGGGGGTTCTATTTCTGACGTACAAGATAACCGGGTTCCTTGATTAGGGGTCGTTCTTAAAGGTCATTTAAGTAAGAAAATGCTTTGTTACTTTGTGTTAAACACACAGACACTGTTAATTCATATTAACTATGAATGAAAACACAATTATTCTACAGCAGACATGATCCCTTCCTCCCAAACCCCTCATTCAGACAGAGGATGGGGCGTGGAACGGTTCTGAATACTTTTTATTGATCTCTGTAAATACAAATATCTATTGAGTCATTTCTGGAATTTACAGTCAGTCTGATTTCCAGTGACCTTTGACATCACGAATAAAAATGGCAGTAGATTATTTACCCTTTTAGTGAGAAAGAAATGTCACATTTGCATCTGTGGCTTCCCCTGTCCCCTATCTGGCTAAAAGGTATAGAGTTGTATTAAAGCAAACTGTTCTATACCATATAAATGTCATATAAAGTTTTCAATGATGTGATCCTTGGTCTGTGTATATGGGTTAAAGAGTTTGAAAATTACATATAGGAAGTGTTTAGGAAATGCCACTACCACTCCATTAAATGCCACTACCACTCCATTTTCACTCCAGCCTCTTCTCTGCCTCCATGCTGTGTGCCTCCAGCCTCCTCCTCTCTCCATTCCTGTGTGCCTCTGCTGCCTCCTCCCTCCATTCCTCGGGCAGCTCTCTGTGAAGCTGGGAGGAAGTGGCTGTCACTTTCTTCCTGCCAGCTGATATCACAGTGGCCCGGTCGGCTCTTAAAGGGCTTACTGGCCCCTAACTGGCCCCTGTTTAGCAATAATTATGGGTGGGAGGAGTGGAGCAAATCATATGAAATACAATGGAAATCACACACACACACATCAGATTGTGTGTGTGATTTGTGGGATAATATACATGATTTTGCAGCATTTAAAATGCGGGAGTCTGTCTCGGAACTACTGGGAGACTTGGGATGTCTGATAAAGGTGTTGTTTTCCCCAGCATTATGTGTCGTCTCATGTCTGGGTAATGGGGCTATAAACACTAAACAGCTCACTAATAATAAGTTCACTGACACACAATGTCCCTACAGACAAGCTCACTGACATAAACACATGCTTATTACAGACAAGCTCACTGACCTAAACACATGCTTATTACAGAGCAGCTCACTGACACACAATATCCCTACAGACAAGTTCACTGACACACATACTCCTTCCAGACAAACTCATTGACATACACACATGCTTATAACAGACAAGCTCACTGACACACACATGGTTATTACAGACTCCTCTCCTCCTCTTCGGCGGAATGCGCATGCGCGGCAGGAGCTGCGCGCGCATTCAACCTGTCTCATAGGAAAGCATTCATAATGCTTTCCTATGGACGCTGGCGTCTTCTCACTGTGATTTTCACAGTGAGAATCACGCAAATGCCTCTAGTGGCTGTCAATGAGACAGCCACTAGATGCTTTAGAGGCTGGATTAACCCTATTATAAACATAGCAGTTTCTCTGAAACTGCTATGTTTATAAAAAAAAAGGGTTAATCCTAGAGGGACCTGGCACCCAGACCACTTCATTAAGCTGAAGTGGTCTGGGTGCCTAGAATGGTCCTTTAAGCTTTGGCTCATGTATGGATTATTTGGCGATACCAGCGATTTATTACTCTGTGGATTACTTGGTGATTTTATTTTATGGGAAGAAGGGAATACTGGATGGTGATACAGTTTACTACCGTCACAAAGATCCTCCCTTAGTGTATGATAGATGACGTATTAGCATATATGACCCTGGTTCTTTCTTTGGCACTAAACCCAGAGGGGATAACTCTAAACAGTGGAACATCGAAAGGGCCTTCACCCGTACCTAATTCTAACTCTTTACAAATCGTTTTCAAAGCTAAACTTGGTAATTCTAAAACTGATTTTAAATTTTCAACACAACAAACTTCAACAGAAATATGTACATGTAACCGGAAACCATTTTCAAAGCCTTCTCTAATTAACTTGGCCTTCTCCCGATTTGGATACATTTCGAGATAAGGTAGTAATCTTTCCAGTTTCACTGGGGTCTGAGCTTTTTGAAAATGTACTACTTTGCTGACCTCTTTTATAGCAATTAAAATTAGGGTGTGCATCTGAACAGGTAGCACATTCATGAAGGAATCTGCAATTATTTAGCCACTTACATTGGGATTCCTTATAAGCCCAGCAAAAACCTTTTTTCTGTGTAGCACTTGTAATGATTTGTTTATTAACATAAGTTGGCTGCCTCTGAGGTAACATCATGCTCACCCAAAGTCCGACATGCTTCATACCCCATTTAAGATTAGTATGAATCGCTAGTTTCTGTCTGAATTGTTTGTCATAATAAAACCATGAAAAAACTTTTTTATATGCTTCCAATATAGCTTCTGTGTGTTGAAAAACACCACAGCACAATATTTTTCACCTATCGCTAAAATAAATGCAAAAAGATTGCAGCCAGTTATTGAATGACCTAGGAATAAACGTCTTCCTTTCATCGTCCCCTTTTTCCCTATCCAGTTTAGTTTAGGTCCCCCCATTATTTATTTAGGGTCCCCTTAAATGAAAACCCAAAGGAGAGCTTTCACAGCCTAAAGCTTCTTTCATGCATGTCTCTTTAACTCTAACTTCTTCCCTCACAGAATGTGTCACTTTCGGATTAACTGCGACCACTTCTGTCCCCGGCTCCCATACTCTCGCCAGTTTAGGTGTCTGCAATAATTTAGTACGTTTTTAAAGTGAAGACACCACTTCGCCGAAAACAGCGTTATTCACAGTTGTTTGTAACTCACCCAACTCATGACTGAGACCCGAGATATCCTGAGCCGCTCCGCTTTCTTCCAATAGCCTAGGTCAGTCCCCAGCCTGTTTATTCTTCTCCTTTTGTTCATATTTTCTGCTCTGTTTCCACATCCTCTTGTTGATCTTTATTGGAGACGGTGAGAAAGTTTCCCTGGACCTTCTTGTTCTCGCCTCATAAATTCTGCAGTGGTTGCTCTCACCAGATTTTTCCATTTGGACTGGCCCTTTAATTGTCAGTGGATAATATCCTGCTCCCCCCTCCATTACTAACTCCCTCTTCTTCCACTTTAATCAGACCAGAAGTACCAGGGACGGACTCCAAACATGCTTACAGCCATTCAGTATCACCACAGCCTAAAGCCTTCTGTTTACGCTGTTCCAAAAAAGCCTCAACTGTGCCAGACATCTCCACAGGTAAACAGCAGCAGCTCAAATATTTAACAGCCAACCTTTGGATTTGTCTGGCACAAGCTGAGGTAAATAATTTTGGTGCCTTTAAATTTATTCTCCCGAATTTCCCAACACTGTGAACCAGGCCCGGACTGGCCATTGGGCACACCGGGCAAATGCCGGGTGTGCCGCAGTGGCCATGGGCCGAGGCCGGCAGGGAGATCACAGGATCTCCCCTGCAGGTCTTTGCAGGGCCGGCACTATCCGAGCGCCGGCCCTGCAGTAGTCCACGGCAGGCTGGTGAGGCCTCACCAGCCCACGTAGAGTATATTCCGGCCACCGGTGGGGAGAGGATGAGGGAGCCAGGAGAGGAACCCAGCAGAGCTGTAATTTGCAGCTCCGCCGGTTTCCTCTCGCGAGATTTGTTGCCATGGCAATGCTCCGGGTCTTGCGAGAGTGAACTCTAGCCTCACAGGCTAGAGTTCACTCACCACTAAGACCACCAGGGATGGATTGCGGTCAGGGCCGGACTGGGAGAAAAATTCGGCCCGGGCATTTTTTTAACACAGCGGCCCACTAAAAAGGGGGCGGGGCAGAGGAGGTGTGTTTTGTCATCACCAATGACAAACACGCCTCCTCTCAAAGTGAGCATGTTGGTTCAATGCTCTTCCAGGGCAGACCATGCGCAGAGCTCTACTGAAGAGCTCTAGCATGAGAAAAAAGTCCTGTATTTGTTCTGCACAGTGCAAACAAATTTAATAACATGCTTGCACTGTGTTTCCTTGCAACTTGTCTCTGGTGTCTATAAATGGATACCAGGAGATAAAAGGCCAGGAAAGAGTATTGTGCATGTATTTGGAGCCTGCTTGTGGTATTGCGTGTGTGTAGAGTGAGCTGGTCGTGGTGTGGTATTGTGTAATAAGGTCAGTTTTAGTCGTGTTGTGTTTGTGGTGTAATGTGATGCATATGTGGCTATGGGCTGTAGAGAATGTGTGTATTGGGGATATAGCAAGTGTGTGCATACAGGCTATAGTGTGTGTGTGTTTAGGGGTGTAGTATGTGTTTGCTTACAAGGAATCTAGTGTGTGTATAGGGGATCCAGAGTGTGTATGTTAAAGGACCACTATAGTGCCAGGAAAACATACTCGTTTTCCTGGCACTATAGTGCCCTGAGGGTGCCCCCACCCTCAGGGACCCCCTCCCGCCCGGCTCTGGAAAGGGGTTAAACTTACCTTTTTTCCAGCGCCGGGCGGGGAGCTCTCCTCCTCCGATCCGCCCCGTCGGCTGAATGCGCACGCGCGGCAAGAGCTGCGCGCGCATTCAGCCGTTCACATAGGAAAGCATTTATAATGCTTTCTTATGGACGCTTGCGTGCTCTCACTGTGATTTTCATAGTGAAAAGCACGCAAGCACCTCTAGCGGCTGTCAATGAGACAGCTGCTAGAGGCTTTGGGGGAAGGCTTAACCTATTGATAAACATAGCAGTTTCTCTGAAACTGCTATGTTTATAAAACAATGGGTTAACCCTAGAAGGACCTGGCACCAAGACCACTTCATTAAGCTGAAGTGGTCTGGGTGGCTAATGTGGTCCTTTAAGAGTGTAGTGTGTGTGTGTGTGTGTGTAGATATATATATATATATTTGGAAGTATTGTGTATGTGTGTGGTGCAGTGTGTTGGGGGGGTTCTGTGTGTATGTGAGAGGTGCGGTGTGTGAGAGTGCCGTGTGTGAGTGATGGGTGTGAGAGTGCTGTGTGTCAGTGATGGATGTGAGAGTGCTGTGTGAGAGTGCTGTGTGTCAGTGATGGATGTGAGAGTGCTGTGTGAGAGTGTGCTGTGTGAGAGAGTGCTCTGAGAGTGCTGTGTGTGTGTGAGTGCTCTGTGAGAGTGCTGTGAGTGTGATGGGTGTGAGAGTGCTGTGTGAGAGAGTGCTGTGTGTTATGGGTGTGAGAGTGCTGTGTGAGAGAGTGCTGTGTGTGATGGGTGTGAGAGAGTGCTGTATAAATGTTATTGTGTGTGTGTAAGGGGGGGGGGGTAAATAAAAAAACAGACACTATGTCCCCCCCCCTCCCTTCTTACCTTTAGCCTGGGAGGGGGGGTCCGGCACGCTGGAAGGCAGGGTGGTGGGGTTCCCTGGTGGTCCTCGTGGGTGAGTGAACTCTAGCCCGTGAGGCTAGAGTTCACTCTCGCGAGATCCGGTCGTTGCCATGGCAACGCGCCGGATCTCGCGAGAGGAACCCGGCGGAGCTGCAAATTAGAGTTCCGCCGGGTCCTCTCTCCAGGCTGGCTGGCTCCCTCCCTCTCCCCGCCGGCGGCCGCATGTGGGCAGGTGAGGGAGATCTTTGATCTCCCTACCGGCCCGTTGTGGCAAACAGCGGGGCCGGCGCTAGGAGAGTGCCGGCCCTGCAAAGACCGGCAGGGAAGATCCTGGGACCTCCCCTGCCGGCCTCAGCCCCACGGACACCGCGGCCCACCGGGCATTTGCCCGGTGTGCCCTATGGCCAGTCCGGGCCTGATTGCGGTAGCAGCAGGATCCCCCCTCACAGGCATAAGGTAAGCAGGGAGGGGGAAAATAATCACCCAAGTCACATCAGCCTCGCAAACACCCCTAACACTCACAGCACCCTCACTCACACACACTGCACCCCTGTCACTCACAGCACCCTCACTCACACACACTGTACCCCTGTCACTCACAGCACCCTCACTCACACACTGCACCCCTGTCACTCACAGCACCCTCACACATACAAACACTGCACCCCTGTCACTCACAGCACCCTCACTCACACACACTGCACCCCTGTCACTCACAGCAGCCTCACACATACAAACACTGCACCCGTCACTCACAGCACCCTCACTCACACACTGCATCCTCACTCACACACTCACACACACTGCACCCCTGTCACTCACAGCACCCTCACTCACACACACTGCACCCCTGACACTCACAGCACCCTCACTCACACACACTCTCACACACTGCACCCCTGTCACTCACAGCCCCCCCACTCACACACTCACACACACTGCACACACTCACAGCACCCTCACACATACACACACTGCACCCCTGTCACTCGCAGCACCCTCACTCACACACTCACACACACTGCACTCCTGACACTCACAGCACCCTCACACATACACACACTACACCCCTGTCACTCACAGCACCCTCACTCACACACTCACACACACTGCACCCCTGACACTCACAGCACCCTCACTCACACACACTGCACCCCTGACATGCACAGCACACACACACTGCACCCCTAACACTTACAGCACCCTCACACACACACACATACTGCACTCCTGACACACACAGCTTCCTCACACGCACATAGCACCCTCACGCAAACACAGCACCCAATCACACACAGCACACACACACAGCACCCTTACCCACATAGCACCCTCACGCAAACACAGCACCCATCACTCACACACTACACACCTCACACACACACTGCACCCCTTTCACACACACACTACACCCCTTACACACACACACAGAGCACCCTCACAAACACTGCGCAATATGCTTTCCTGGCATTTTTGTCTCCTGGTATCCCACCTATGGAGACACCAGAGAAAAATTTCAAGCAAACACAGTGCAAGCATGTTATTGAATTTGCTTGCGCTGTGCAGAACAAATACAGGGTCTTTTTCTCATGCCAGAGCTCTTCAGCCGAGCTCTGCACATGGTCTACCCTGGAAGAGCATTGAACCAACATGCTCACTTTAAGATGGGGCGTGCTTGTCATTGGTGATGACAAAACACACCCTATCTGGCCCCGCCCCCTTTGTAGTGGGCCGCTGTAATTAAAAAATGCCCGGGCCGAATTTTCTTCCCAGTCCGGCCCTGACTCCAGTCACCATAACCACTTTAATGGGATGAAGCAGTTACAGTTTATATAATAGTTACATAGGCTGAAAAGAGACGTGTCCATCAAGTTCAGCCTTCCTCACATTTGTTTTTTGATGTTGATCCAAAAGAAGGCAAAAGAACTAATTCGAAGCACTTCCAATTTTGCAACAAACTAGGAACAAAAATCCTTCTTGACTCCAGAATGGCAGTCAGATTAATCCTTGGACCAAGACGCTATTACCCTACATTATGCATGTGCATGGGGAACATTTTTGGTTCGGTTCGGCATTCCGCTATTCGGGACTTCAACACTTCGGAACTTCGCCACTTTGGCCACTTCCGCATTTCGGGACTTCTCTAATAGGCGCTTAGTAGATAACTCCCTAATTCCCACGGTATTAGGGAGTTATCTACTAAAAGGCTGAAAAACCTAAATTGGTCTTTCGGACAAATTTACTAATACTAAGTAAAAATTAGGGGCATGTCTATTAAACAGTGAGCAGCCTGTTACTTAATCCACCAATCAGAGAGTTATGAGTCAAATTACACAGTGTGGGAAAATTCCAAAGAACTTTCCCATACTGTGTAAAATGACACAGAGCACTCTGATTGGTGGATTTCAAGCCAACCAATCAGAGTGCTGTGACAGGTAAATGTAGAGACTTACCTGTCAGTCCCTTCATTTACCTGTCAGAGCACTCTGATTGGATGGCTTAAACCCAGCAATCAGAGTGCTCTGGGCCTAATTGCAGGGCAGGGAAAGGCTTTATAAGCCTTCCCCCGCCCTCCAGAGCTCAGTCTGCGCGGAGCCCTCGCCGGGTGAAGATGGATTTTTTTTTTTTGCACTTGTTTTTTTTTCTTAAGTGCATCGGTTATTATGGATTTTTTATTTGGCCTTTTTTGGGGCTGAAAAAAAAGATTTTAGAAAAAGGAAAACATTGAATGGTAAATTTTTTTTTTTTTTACAGGTACTTAGTTAAAGCCCCCCCCCCCTCATTATTTTTAGGGTGAGGGGGGAAGGTAGGGGGATAATTTTTTTGGGGGGGATGAGGGGGTGACTAGGAGTTTGGGGACCCCTAGTCACCTGGGGGGGGTAACATTTTTATTTAGGGTCCCCACCCGCCGCTCAGGGGTGGGGGCCAAGGGGGAGGACATTAGGTCCCCCACCTTATTTGTATTTAGGGCCCCCACCCACAGCTCAGGGGTGGGCGCCAGTGGGAGGACATTAGGTCCTCCTCCTTATTAGTATTTAGGGCCCCCACCCACCGCTCAGGGGTGGGGGCCCAGGGGGAGGACATTAGGTCCCACCCTTATTAGTATTTAGGGCCCCCACCCACCACTCAGAGGTGGGGGCCAGGGGAGAGGACATTAGGTCCCCCCCACTTATTTTACTGTAGGGCCCCCACCCACTGCTCAGGGGTGGGGGCCAGGGGGGAGGACATTAGGTCCCCCCCCTTATTAGTATTTAGGGCCCCACCCATCGCTCAGGGGTGGGGGTCAGGGGGGAGGACATTAGGTCCCCCCCTTATTTTACTGTAAGGCCCCCACCCGCCGTTCAGGGGTGGGGGCTGGGGGGGGCAATAAGTCCCCCCTTCAGGTTAGAAGCCCCCACTCGCGCAGCCTATGGCTGCTCACTTTTTAATAGACATGCCCCTACTCGCAGTATAGCGAGTAGGGGCATAATTTACTAATACTAAATAATCTTTACTTAGTATTAGTAAATTTGGCTGAAAGACCAATTTAGGTCTTTCAGCCTTTTAGTAGATAGCTCCCTAATACTGTGGGAATTAGGAGTTATCTACTTATTCATTCCTGTCATTACACTGACTGGCTAAGTAACTTACATTGTATATGAATGCATGTTACTTGATTGTTGTAAGTGTTGCAAATGCTTACAGCTGAATCCTGGCTATGTTTGTATACTTTTTATTTAAAATTGTATACAGTGTAACATTCTTCATTCTTCCACTGGGTAAGTATATTAGTTCTTAGGCAATACTGTGCTTCGGCAACTTCGGAACTTCAGCACTTCAGAACTTCGGCAACTTCGGCACTTCAGCACTTCGGAACTTCGGCAATTCGACACTTCAGAAATTCTGTAATTTCAGAATTTTGGGAATTCGGCAATTTATCTATTCGGACCGAAACGAATTGCACATGTCTACCCTACATTGAAAAATGATATAATTGAATATTCTGTTTTTGTAAGTATCCATTTAGTAGCTGTTTAAACATCTGTATGGACTCTGATAAAACCACTTCTTCAGGCAGAGAATTCCATATCCTTATTGTTCTTATGGTAAAAAAAAATGTTCCCTTGCCTTACACGAAATCTTCTTTCTTCCAGTCTAAACGCATGACCTCGTGTCCTATGTAAAGTCCGGCTTGTGAATAGATTTCCACACAATCGTTTGTATTGGCCCCGAATATATTTCTATAATGTTATTGTAAAGGATCCTTGCATTCGTGCAGCGATTATCCTTGCAGCTTCTCCTGAAATCCAACTGAAACGAAGTGATTATAACTCCCAATCCCCCAAACATGAGTCGAGACTTCATGAAGGGGTAAAACGATCTGATTTACTGTGGGCTACCCGCCCGGTATTTATGCAGGTCTCCCACCTGGTGGACACTACCCTAGGGGACCAGATGGAAGACTGGGACAAAAGTAACACAGTAGCCAATCACAGTGGCTATAGCATAAGCACTCCCCTTTTACATAAATCACTCCCTCTTTTCCATCCTGGAGATAATTAACTTAAGGTAGCAAAGAGAGCCTTAATTATCTCCAGGAAGAAAGAAACATGGCTTTTCTTATTTAGCAAAACAGAATAAAAATATATAACTTTCTTTTTACACAACATAAACTTTAATTTCCACATATCCCCAGATAGCTTGGATCTGAGGGCATATTCTAGGCGAATAGCGCTCAGATCCCACGAACACAGTTCTCAGAATCGTTGACTGAAGTTTGACTTTCACCAGCCGTTCGTGTGTTTGCAGCCGACTGCAGGTTCCATACTATAGCTATCTGGGGTCGGTCACTTTCGCATACTTTCAGCGCACAAATGAAGTAGTACCCCTTCATTCGTGTGTTTTTCCACCGTATCAACGAGGATGGGCGAAGGTAGCAGCGGTGTTCGACAAAATAGGTAGCCAAAATCAGTTCCAGGGAATCCTCACCATTTACCGCTGTGCGTTCGACAATACAAAATGGCGATTGCCACGTGTTCGGTAGATGAACGCGGACCACCAGCTATTCCCCAATTAGTCTGTGGTTAACCGCAACAGTCAGGGTGGTCAATAGGCGCCACTCGACCTCAGTGGGAGGTCGGTGGTTCGGTAGTTCATTCGCATTTATTGTTATTTCCACGAAATCCCGCTGTAATCCTCCAAATAACCGAACAGGCTTGTTCGTATAGTCTGTAAATAGGGGATTTCGTTACACAGCTCCCCCTTAGTCCCATGGAACGGCATACCTGCTTAGATCCTAGCGGGTCGGCTAAGGGATGTCCGGTAGCACAGGAGAAACAAACAAAAATATCTACTTTTCCAGTTCAGTTTGCCGGGACAGGCCATCGGCATTGGCATTCTGCTTCCCGGGGCGATACTGCATTGTAAAATTATAGGGTTGCAGTGCCAAGCTCCATCGGAGTAGTCTGGGGTTATCGCCAGCTACTCTGTTAAGCCAAATTAAAGGGTTGTGGTCAGTCAGCACTGTGAAAGAGCGTCCATACAAGTAGGGTTGTAGTTTTTTAAGTGCCCAGACTAATGCCAGACACTCTTTCTCCACAGTGGCATAGCTGACTTCGCGGGGTAATAGTTTTCGGCTCAGATACGCCACCGGGTGATCCATGCCATCGTCTCCCACCTGGCTCAATACTGCTCCCAGTCCAAACATTGAGGCATCTGTGTGGACGAGAAACCTTTTAGTATAATCAGGTGCCGCTAACACAGGAGATGCACTTAACGCAGCCTTGAGTTTCTGGAACGCCTCCTCACACTCAGTGGACCAGACTACTTGTCGGGGTAGGGACTTTTTGGTGAGGTCTGTCAAGGACTTGGCAAGGGCACTGTATTCCGCTACAAATTTCCTGTAATAACCTGCGGTGCCCAAGAACGCCATGACCTGGGTTTTCGTCCGGGGTTGAGGCCACTGGGTGATATACCCTGGGGCTGCTGAAAACATGGCCCCAAATTCCTTTAACAGTTGGGAAGCCTGAGCTTGTTCCTCGGAACCTAATTCTGGACCAACTGTACCTGGTCTACTCCTGTGGGTTCCTGGGTAAGCATATCTGGTAAAGGGATACCCTCACTATCTTCATATGCTGGAGCACATACCGCGGAGACCTCCTCTGGTCTCTCAAGATATGGCTTGAGCATGTTTACATGGAAGGACCGCCGGATCCTTTCATCGGAACAGTCTGCCACAATGTACGTGGTATCACTGATCCGCTCTATTACAGTGTAGGGGCCCTGCCAGGATGCTTGTAACTTATCTGTTTTGATAGGTTTAAGCACTAGGACCTTTTGTCCCACTTCTAATATACGGTCTCTAGCTCCCTTGTCATACCAGTACTTCTACCTTTGTTGGGCGGCTTGCAGGTTCTCCCGAACTGTTTCGGTCAGAGCCTGTAGCCGGTCCCTCAGCTCTAGTACAAAGGAGACTATAGGGGTACCTGCTTGTTCCATATCACCTTCCCAATGTTCCCGTACTAGATCCAGGGGTCCCCGGACCCGTCTCCCGTATAATAGCTCGAACGGGGTGAATCCGGTGGACTCCTGGGGAACTTCCCTATAGGCAAAGAGCAAATGAGGGAGGAATCTTTCCCAATTCCTACAGGTCTCTGTGAACGTGATGAGCATTTGCTTAAGGGTGCCGTTAAAACGTTCACAGAGGCCATTGGTTTGGGGGTGATAGGGAGAACTTAATATGGGTTTTACCCCACAGCTCTGCCAGAGCTGTTGGGTAACCACCGCAGTGAATTGGGTTCCCTGATCTGACACTATCTCCCTAGGGAATCCCACCCTAGTGAATACCTGAACTAGTGCTTCTGCTACCGTCTCTGCATGTATATTTGTATAGCGGGTAGCGTAGTCCACCACAGTAAGAATGTATTTCTTACCGGATGGACTGGGTTTACTGAGTGGCCCGACTAAATCAACTGCCACTCGGAAAAATGGTTCCTCAATAATGGGAAGGGGACGTAGTTTTGCCCTGGGGTGATCCCCTCTCTTCCCTACCTTTTGGCATATTTCGCAGGTCCTACAATAATCCTGCAAATCTCTAGTGACCCCTGGCCAGAAAAAGGACTGGGTGAGTCTGTCTCTTGTCTTTTTAATGCCCAAGTGACCTGCTAGGGGAATATCGTGGCTAATCCGTAACAGTTCTACTCGATACTTACAGGGCACTATTAACTGTCTTTTTTCTCCTGTCCCTGTCCCCCCAAACACTCGGTACAGTAAACCCTTTTCCCAGCTAAACCTTGCCTGATCTCTGTCTCCCTGGGGTTGTTCTGAGGGGTACCTCAGTAAGAAGTATGGTCAGGGGGAATCGTCAGAGGGTTATCGCTTACCTGGTCATGGGTTGAGGGGGAGGCTTCCATAGCTCTGGATTGCTGCTGGGTGGTAAAAGGTAGTGCTCCTTCGGAACTGCAGGCTGCCAATTGGGACGTCAGGCATCCTAGATCATTCCCCAGCAATACTTCCGCGGGCAAATCTGGCATGATGCCCACTTCTACGACCTTGGCCCCTGTACCCCAATCAATGTGAAACCGGGCGGTTGGTAGTTTATGAATTGCCCCTCCGGCCACCCTTACAGCAATGGTGCGTCCTGTGTGCTGGGTCGGGGTGACCCGGTGTGGCTGGACCAAGGTAATAGTGGCCCCGCTGTCTCTCAGTCCCCGAGCCTCTTGTCCATTTAGTTTTACTGACTGGCGGTGGTGCGCTCTGTTATCCCCAGCCGCCTGTAAAGGGTTCACCTCATGTAAGGTGGCCCAATTCTCACTGTGGTTACTGGGTGTCTCTTGAGTCAGAGAGTTGTAATCCTCTTGCACACAGTGTGCGGCTGCTTTGGTCGGTGGTACCGGTGCCCGCCCCCAGCGATCTGTAGTGCGTTGTGGGCAGTTAGGTTTGATGTGCCCCACTTGCTTGCACCCATAACACATTGGAGCGGTCTTTTGGTACCCCGGGGTTGTGGTATTGCCCCCCGGTGGTGGTACCCTCTGTGGCGTAGTTGGCGGGCCAGATGCAGGCCGCTGGCCCTGGACCCCTTGGTTTCCATCCATCCGCCTGCTCTCATGAAATTCGTCTGCCAGCCTTGCTGCCTCCTCCACCGTTTTTGGCTTTCTGTCTCTGACCCAGTCTCTCACCTCCGCTGGAGTATAATCAAAAAATTGCTCCAGTAACAACAATTGCACAGCAACCTCTAGGGTAGTTGCCTGATTCCCCTGCATTCAATTACTGTCAGCGCGTTGCATACGAAATGCCCACTCTGTATATGAATCCTTGCCTTGTCTCCTGAGGGCCCGGAATTTCCTTCTATGGGCTTCAGGAGTTACAGCGTACCGAGCTAACAAAATCTCTTTTATCTTTTCATAGTTTTGTATATCCCCATCTGGCACAGCTCTCAACGCTTCGGCTGCTCTACCTGATAGTTTACTACTTAATACTGCAGCCCAGTTAGCTCTTTCCAAATCTTCTAACACACATTGTCTTTCAAAATCTTGCAAGTAATTATCAATATCCATCTCACCTTCCACGAAGCTTTTAAATGCAGTGTAGTTGATTTTCCGCTGACGCCCCATTGTAGATCCAGATAGCGACAATATATCCACAGGAGGTGATCTGTCTCTGGCTTCTCGTGCTTCTCTGGCATTCTGGGACTCTGTAGCTTGTGCCAAGATCTGTACCATGATCTCTGGTGCAGGGTTAGGTCCTACCAGGCTGAGTCTCCATCTCACATCCCTCTAGAACTCTGTTTCCTCTGCATTCGCCATTTGTGGTTCGCCGGTTTGATCGCTCTCCAGTAGTCCGGCTATTAACGTGGCTTTCGGTTTGTTGCTTGCCACTATGCCTCGAGCTTCCAGCAGTTCCTTCAATGTATTTCGTTTCAAGCGTTCGTATCTATGCGCCATTCACCACTTGTTTCAAATCGGTACGTCCGTTCGGGAGGAAATCCCGCCGCTTGCCACCAGTGTAAAGGATCCTTGCATTCGTGCAACGATTATCCTTGCAGCTTCTCCTGAAATCCAACTGAAACGAAGTGATTATAACTCCCAAACATGAGTCGAGACTTCATGAAGGGGTAAAACGATCTGATTTACTGTGGGCTACCTGCCGGTATTTATGCAGGTCTTCCACCTGGTGGACACTCCCCTAGGGGACCAGATGGAAGACTGGGACAAAAGTAACACAGTAGCCAATCACAGTGGCTATAGCATAAGCACTCCCCTTTTACATAAATCACTCCCTCTTTTCCATCCTGGAGATAATTAACTTAAGGTAGCAAAGAGAGCCTTAATTATCTCCAGGAAGAAAGAAGCATGGCTTTTCTTATTTAGCAAAACAGAATAAAAATATATAACTTTCTTTTTACACAACATAAACTTTAAGTTCCACATATCCCCAGGTAGCTTGGATCTGAGGGCATATTCTAGGCGAATAGCGCTCAGATCCCACGAACACAGTTCTCAGAATCGTTGACTGAAGTTTGACTTTCACCGGCCGTTCGTGTGTTTGCAGCCGACTGCAGGTTCCATACTATAGCTATCTGGGGTCGGTCACTTTCGCATACTTTCAGCGCACAAATGAAGTAGTACCCCTTCATTCGTGTGTTTTTCCACCGTATCAACGAGGATGGGCGAAGGTAGCAGCGGTGTTCGACAAAATAGGTAGCCGAAATCAGTTCCAGGGAATCCTCACCATTTACCGCTGTGCGTTCGACAATACAAAATGGCGATTGCCACGTGTTCGGTAGATGAACGCGGACCACCAGCTATTCCCCAATTAGTCTGTGGTTAACCGCAACAGTCAGGGTGGTCAATAGGCGCCACACAACCTCAGTGGGAGGTCAGTGGTTCGGTAGTTCATTCGCATTTATTGTTATTTCCACGAAATCCCGCTGTAATCCTCCAAATAACCGAACAGGCTTGTTCGTATAGTCTGTAAATAGGGGATTTCGTTACAGTTATCATATAACATTTTTTTTTCTAAACTAAATAGGTTTAAATTTGTTAACCTTTCTTCATAGCTAAAATGTTCCATTCCTTTTATTAATTTTGTAGCTCATCTCTGCACTTTTTCTAGTGCCATAATATCCTTCTTTAGAACAGTTGCCCAAAATTGCACAGCATATTCAATATGTGGTCTTACCAGTGATTTATAAAGAGGCAAAAAGATATTCTCATCCCGAGAATGAATGCCCTTTTTCATGCATGACCTCATTGGCCTTAGCCACTGCTAATTGACATCAAGGGCCTACCTAGAGCATTTGGCACCAGGGGCAGATCCTGTGTGTGGCACCCCCCCTCCCCCCAAGTGTAAAAAAACACCCGTAACATTTTTTTATTTTTTTTTTATAATGTATTGCACAAATTTGTAAACATTGTAAAACCCCTGTCTGCCCCTTCTACAAAACCCCTTTCCTGCCCCGCCCCTCCTACAAAGCCCCTATCCTGCCTCCCTTCTACAAAACTCCTGCATCCAACTTCCACAAATCCCCTGCTCAGCGCCCATTATACAAGACCCCTGCCACCTTATACAAAATCCCTGCACACCCACACACACAGTTACTGGCAGACAGTCACACACACACACACACACACACACACACACACACTTACAGGCAGCATCACACAATCACAGGCAGACAGTCACACACACATTTTCACATGCAGATAGTCACACATACAGTCACAGGCAGTCACACACACAGTCACACACAGAAAGTTACAGGCAGTCATACACAGTCACAGGCAGACTGTCACACACACACACACACACATAGTCACATGCAGACAATCACATTTACAGTCACAGGTAGACAGTCACAGGCAGTCATGCACACAGTTACAGGCAGACTGTCACACACACACAGTTATAGGCAGATGGTCACACACACAGTTTCAGGCAGACAGTCACACACACACATACACACACAGTGCTCAAGGACAACAATCAGACACACACACAGTTACAGGCAGATAGTCTCACACACACACACACACACACATTTACATGCAGACAGTCACATACACACACACTTACAGGCAGACAGTCTCACACACATAAACAGTTACAGGCAGATGGTCAGATACACACACACACAGTTACAGGGAGACAGTCACACACACACACACACAGATTTTAGGGACGACAGTCAGTCACACACACAGTTACAGTCAATCACACACACACACACACACTGTCTCTTTCTCTCTCTCTCTCTCTCTCTCACTTACTTACAGAGAGTATGGGCTGGAGGAGGAGTGGGTTCTCTGAAGTCCCTCCCTGCAGTGGAGAAATAAGGGTGGCGCGGTCCACCCGGGTGCCACTCACTAGGGGATGCCCGGGGCAGACTGTGTCTGGCCTGACACTAGGAGGGGGCCCGGTGGCTTGCTCAATATGCCGTCGGGTGCGATGCCCCTCCTGCGCCCATTGCAGACACTGGTCTGCAGTTCTGCAGTGTGCAGAGCTGCAGACCATGTGTCTCGCGAGATCTGAGCAATCAGAGCATTGCCACGGCCCACGGGTACCATGGCAACGATCTGACTGGGACTCGCGAGATTCATGGTCTGCAGCTCTGCACACTGCCGAGCTGCAGACCGGAAATTATGGCCACTGGACCACCAGGGAGCCCACCGGACCACCATTTCAGCTGTCATCACAGTAAGGGGATTATTCACTAATACGTGAATTACAAAATTTAGGCTAAAATAGTCAAACTGTATCATTTTCCAGATCAGCTTTTGCTACAGTCACTGTGTGCTGTAAATAATTCCCTGAGGGAGTTAGGTTTGCAATTTGGGAGTGTATTTATATAACAGGGTAGCATTATACCTCTCTGCAACCCTAAATTAGTTTGTATTCTTCAACCTGTGCACTACAACTCTCATCACTCTCAGATCGAAGGAACCTGGCTCTCCTCATAATGTGCAAAACTCCCCAATATTTTAAATCACAGCCTGACAGTTCACTGTAAGGTTACCAGACCACCTTCCTTTCATTATAGCTCACGTTCACGTTCTTTCATTGATGTGCCTTTACACCGTCTTGTCTTACATTTTGTTAATTGGTCTATTTTCTCCTCACTTGGGCCTTGGCACATGGAGCAATTTGCTTTACATCCTTCTGTCGGCCTTTTAATGTTTACAATCTGTTAGATATTCCCATAGTAATCTAGGTTGAAAACAGAGTTCGAAATCATTAAGTTCACTCCTTCAGACATCTGTTAATTCTGTTGATCTAAAAGAAGGCACGAGCCAAATTTGAAGCAATTTCTAATTAAGTCGCAAAAAGGGGGGGAAATTGTCTTTGACCAATATTCAGCCATCTTCAGAACAGTTCAAGAAAAAAATATAATGTACTTGTTAAATTATGAGAAAAAAATCAAATGTAAAGATATTTTCCTTTTTAATATGTGCTTTATTTGGGTTATTTCTTCTGATTAGATTTTTGGTGCTAAATAAATTTTTTAAAGATTTTTTTAGATTTTAAAGTATATTCAATACTATTTCGCTTTTCTCTAATGCTCACTAATCACTGGCTGCATTAATAGGTGATTGTTGTAAACTCACGAATTGACAGGCACTTGTAATGCCATGTTTTCATGCTCGCTGCTTGTCAAGTGACTGATTATTACATGATCGTTGCTCATCTGATGATTGTTCCCTGCTTGCCTGTCTGGTGACGGCTTGTTCCATGCTTGCCTGTCTGGTGAAGGCTTGTTCCATGCTTGCTCACCTGGTGACGGGTTGTTCTATGCTTGCTCACCTGGTGACGTGTTGTTCTATGCATGCACGCTTCGCAATGGGTTGTTCTATTCCATGCTTGCCTGCCTAGTGACGGGTTGTTCCATGCTTGCTTGCCTGGCGACAGGTTGTTCCATGCTTGCCTGGTGACGGGTTGTTCCATGCTTGCTTGCCTCGTGACGGGATATTCGATTCTTGTTCCCCTGGTGATGGGTTGTTCTATACATTCTCTCCTAGTGACAGGTTGCTCAATGCTTGCCTGTCTAGTGACTGGTTGCTCCATGCTTTCTTGTCTGGTGACGGGTTGTCCCGTGCTTGCCTGTCTGGTGACGGGTTGTTCCATGCTTGCCTGTCTGGTGATGGGTTGTTCCATGCTTGCCTGATGACGGGTTGTTCCACGCTTGCCTGTCTGGTGACGGATTGTTCCATACATGCTCTCCTAGTGACAGATTGTTCCATGCTTAACTGTCTGATGACAGGTTGTTCCCTGCTTGCCTGTCTGGTGACGGGTTGCTCCATGCTTGCCTGTCTAGTGACAGGTTGTTCCATGCTCGCCCAGCGACAGGTGTTCCATGCTTGCTGTCTGGTGACGGGTTGTTCCATGCTTGCCTGTCTAGTGACAGGTTGTTCCCTGCTTGCCTGTCTGGTGACGGGTTGTTCCATGCTTGCTTTTCTGGTGATGGGTTGTTCCATGCTTGTCTGGTGACGGGTTGTTCAATGCTTTCTTGTCTGGTGATGGGTTGTCCCGTGCTTGCCTGTCTGGTGACGGGTTGTTTCATGCTTGCCTGTCTGGTGATGGGTTGTTCCATACATGCTCTCCTAGTGACAGGTTGTTCCATACATGCTCTCCTAGTGACAGGTTATTCCATACATGCTCTCCTAGTGACAGGTTGTTCCATGCTTGCCTGTCTGGTGATGGGTTGTTCCATGCTTGCCTGCCTGGTGACGGGTTATTGTTCCATGTTTGCCTGTCTGGTGACGGGTTGTTCCATGCTTGTCTGGTGACGGGTTGTTCCATGCCGCTCGTCTGGTGACTGGTTGTTCCATGCTTGCTCGTTGCGACGGGTTGTTCCATGCTTGCCTGGTGACGGGTTGTTCCATGCTTGCCTGTCTGGTGACGGGTTGTTCCATGCTTGCTTGTCTGGTGACGGGTTGTTCCATGCTTGCCTGTCTGGTAACGGGTTGTTCCATGCTTGCTTGTCTGGTGACAGGTTGTTCCATGCTTGCTTGTCTGGTGACGGGTTGTTCCATGCTTGCTTGCCTGGTGACGAGTTGCTCCATGCTTGCCTGTCTGATGACGGGTTGTTCCATACATGCTCTCCTAGTGACAGGTTGTTCCGTGCTTGCCTGTCTAGTGACGGATTGTTCCATGCTTGCCTGCCTGGTGACGGGTTGTTCCACGCTTGCCTGTCTGATGACGGGTTGTTCCATACATGCTCTCCTAGTGACAGGTTGTTCCATGCTTGCCTGCCTGGTGACAGGTTGTTCCACGCTTGCCTGTCTGATGACGGGTTGTTCCATACATGCTCTCCTAGTGACAGGAAGTTCCATGCTTGCCTGTCTAGTGACGGGTTATTCCATGCTTGCCTGTCTAGTGATGGGTTGTTCCGTGCTTGCCTGTCTGGTGACAGGTTGTTCCATGCTTGCTTGTCTGGTGACGGGTTGTTCCATGCTTGCTTGCCTGGTGACGGGTTGTTCCATGCTTGCTTGCCTGGTGACGGGTTGTTCCATGCTTTCCTGTCTGGTGACGGGTTGTTCCATACTTGCCTGTCTGGTGACGGGTTATTCCATGCTTGCCTGTCTGGTGACAGGTTGTTTCATGTTTGCTTGCCTGGTGACGGGTTGTTCCATGCTTTCCTGTCTGGTGACAGGTTATTCCATGCTTGCCTGTCTGGTGACGGGTTGTTCCATGCTTGCTTGCCTGTCTGGTGATGGGTTGCTCCATGCTTGCCTGTCTGGTGACTGGTTGTTCCATGCTTGCCTGTCTGGTGACTGGTTGTTCCGTGCTTTCCTGTCTGGTGATGGGTTGTTCCTGGAGATCTGGAGCCGCACAAGTCTGGAGCCGAACAAGTCTGGAGCCCGCACAGATCTGGAGCCGGACAAGTCTGGAGCCTGCACAGATCTGGAACCGCACAAGTTTGGAGCTCACACAGATCTGGAGCCGCACAAGTCTGGAGCTTGCACAGATCTGGAGCTCGCACAGATCTGGAGCCGCACAAGTCTGGAGCCGCACATGTCTGAAACCCGCACAAGTCTGGAGCTCACACAGATCTGGAGCCGCACAAATCTGCGCTAATTGGTTTGTTCCTGACCTGTTCCACATAAGTGATGAACTCTTGTCTGGTACAGGATAATAGGGGGCCATATATGTGAAATTGGTGGGGCGGAGGGCACAATAGTTGTTGTTGTTATAATAGTTCTACATTTAGGAACATTCCTAATTTATTGGCAATATCATTTCCCAACTTGTTTTTGTAATGGAGAGTAGAACCCGTCCATCTTCGCGTTGAGCTGTAATGGTGAAAACAGAACGTGTCTGTGCCCTCTCTGTGTTTAATCATTTCTGCTCCTCACTGAATTATTTGTGGCCCCTGCAGGGGATATTCTCTCGGTCTCACAAAGACCACCTCAATCCGTGCCGGCCTGCGTGCCTTAATTATACCGTTCCCATGACAACATTGATCCCTGTAGCTTACATCTTAGAGCACAAAAGTGAACAAGCAAGTGGATTTAACACACACCAAAATGGTGATAAACCCAGGTTATGGCGTGTCTGTGTGTATAATGTTCGTCTGTTTGCATAGGGTATGGTGTGTCTGTGTTATGATGTTTACGTGTCTGCATGCAATATGCATGACGTGTCTCTGCACATTAGCTGACTTGTTTTCAGGCAGAGCGTGTGTTCTAGTTGTCATGGTTACGATTCTGTGTGACTTAGATATGACTACAAAAACAGCTGCCGAGCAATGACATGCTACCATGCACAGCGATATTTATGTGCAGAGCAATGTCATGCTACTGTGCAGAGAGATGTTACTGTGCAGAGTTATATTACTGTGCAGAGCTATACTACTGTGCAGAGCGATGTTATTGTGCAGAATGATATGACTGTGCAGAGCTATGTTACTGTGCAGAGCGATGTTACTGTGCAGAGCAATGTTACTCTGCAGAGTGATGTTACTGTGCAAAGCTATATTACTGTGCAGAGCGATATTACTATGCAGAGCTATATTACTGTGCAGAGCGATGTTACTGTGCAGAGCTATATTACTGTGCAGAGCGATGTTACTGTGCAGAGCAATGTCATGCTACTGTGCAGAGCGATGTTATTGTGCAGAGTTATATTACTGTGCAGAGCGATGTTACTGTGCAGAGCGTTGTTATTGTGCAGAATGATATGACTGTGCGGAGCGATCTTACTGTGCAGAGTTATATGACTGTGCAGAGCGATGTTACTGTGCAGAGCGATGTTACTGTGCAAAGCTATATTACTGTGCAGAGCGATGTTACTGTGCAGAGCTATATTACTGTGCAGAGCGATGTTACTGTGCAAAGCTATATTACTGTGCAGAGCGATGTTACTGTGCAAAGCTATATTACTGTGCAGAGTGATGTTACTGTGCAGAGCAATGTTACTCTGCAGAGCGATGTTACTGTGCAAAGCTATATTACTGTGCAGAGCGATGTTACTGTGCAGAGCTATATTACTGTGCAGAGCGATGTTACTGTGCAGAGCTATATTACTGTGCAGAGCGATGTTACTGTGCAGAGCTATATTACTGTGCAGAGCGTTGTTACTGTGCAGAGCTATGTTACTGTGCAGAGCTATGTTACTGTGCAGAATGATATTACTGTGCAGAGTGATGTTACTGTGCAGAGCTATATTACTGTGCAGAGCGATGTTACTGTGCATAGCTATATTACTGTGCAGAGCGATGTTACTGTGCAGAGCGTTGTTACTGTGCAGAGCTATATTACTATGCAGAGCGATGTTACTGTGCAGAATAATATTACTGTGCAGAGTGATGTTACTGTGCAGAGCTATATTACCGTGCAGACATGCTGACACACTTGTAAATGTAAATTTTTAAACCCACCTTCCAGTTTCCTACCTTTTGCTGGAGGGTGGCTTCCCTAGGGTCCAACGTGGTGCCTGAGGCTGATAGAAGTGAGGAGCCTCCATACTCACTGCAGCCTCGTCCTCCCTTCCTTGCGACTCCTCCTGCCACCTTCCCTGCAGCTCCTCTCTTTATGGGAGGAAGTGACTCATGGATGTCACTTCCTCCCAGCTGGCTGCCGAAAGCAAGAGGCCCGGCTCGGTGTTAAAGTACATTGTCCACCTGGTGGGACTCAGATGACGGAAAAAAAAAAGAAATCGATGAGGGCAGCAGGGCCCATGGGGCAGCTGCCTTGGGCCCTCAAGGAGAAACTGGGCCCGGGGCAGCTGCCCCATATGCCCTGCGTTAAAGACGGCCCTGACACATAGATACACACACTGAGATAAACACTCAGATACACATATTGACACAAGGATACGCACTGACAAAAACACTCAGATACACACACTGGCACAAACATTCAGATACACACGCTGACACATACACTCAGATACACACACTGACATAAACACTCAGATACACACACTGGCACAAACATTCAGATACACACACTGACACACAGATACGCAGATTCACTTAGATACACACACTGAAACACAGATACACACACACATATACACACACTGACACAAACACTCAGATACACACACTGACACACAGATACACACACTGACACAAACACTCAGATACACACACTGACACACAGATACACACACTGACACATTCACTCAGATACACACACTAACACAAAGATACACACACTGTCACACAGATATACACACTGACACAATATCAAAAGGAAAAAGAAAAGAATAAGACCGTGAGGTCCTAAACAGGAGAATGGTAAATGAAAAGGAGTCCCTACCTTTAATAGTCCTAATGATGGGAACAATTTAAAAAGAGCTAATCTTTACTTTCTTTTATCGTTCACTTGGTAGCACAGCGTTATGGATTATTTTTATTTAAGATAATTTATGTATTCTAGCTATCTGGACAGGCAGTGAGAGGTGTACAGGTAGGCTTCACAGTGCCGAGGTATATAGCTATAGGATGTGTTTCCTATTAGTGGCTTTTGTCTGGACTTGTGTTTCTGGGAGTTTTTTCATCCCTTTTCTCAGGAGGTATCCAGATATATCCCCTAATTAGCCTAGCCGTGATTTTCCTCTTATTACCTGTTTTCTCTACTCTCTATCTTCAATGTGAAGTTACCTAGGCTTGCATAGAGCTGGTTGGTAGTTAGGGTCTGGATGTGCTTTGACACACCATTTCCCTTTACCTTGGTCTCCCTTATTTTCCTGTCCATTTTAAATTGTTCCCATCATTAGGACTATTAAAGGTAGGGACTCCTTTTCATTTACTATTCTCCTGTTTAGGACCTCACGGTCTTATTCTTTTCTTTTTCATTTTGATACTGTATATTGTGGGTTATTCCCCGTTTGGGAAGAATAGTCTAGGGCATTTTAAACACTGATCCATGGGCCAAATTAGTGACACACAGATACACGCACTGACACAAACACACACACACTGACACAAACACTCAGATACACACACTGACACACAGATACACACACTGACACACAAATACACACACTGACAGAAACATTCAGATACACACACTGACACAGTCACTCAGATACACTGACACACAAATACACACACTGACAGAAACATTCAGATACACACACTGACACAGTCACTCAGATACACTGACACACAGATACACACCGGTGAGCTCTTAAATGGCTGGTACCCCATCCCTATTTAATGGGTATGAGGGAGGGGATCACAAATCACGTGTACTATTCTGGTAATCAACACACAATCTGATATACATTGTATGTTAGATAGTGTGTGATTTCCAGGGTATTATATATGTTCTGCGGGTGTCAGGGAGCCGCATACAAAATGTGGGAGTCTCCCGGTAAATGTTTGCACTAAGGTCCACCTAAGCCAGCCTGCTAGCCCAGTCAAGGCCCCTTTCCCCTAAGCTGCACTTTCTCCATGGGGCTACATTCACTCTTTGTGCCCCACCCTCCAATGTAGAAATGAGCCATTTGTATAACCCCTGGAGTGTCCCTTTAATGATATAAATCCACCCAGTATAACTAACTGTAACCTAACCTCCACAGTGCATCTAACGTGTGGGAGCCTGGCGTGTGCCTTTAATAATATACACCCACCCAGTATAACTGTAACCTAACCTACACAGTGCATCTAATGTGTGTGGGAGCCTGGAGTGTCCCTTTATTAATATAAACCCACCCAGTATAACTAACTGTAACCCAACCTACACAGTGCATCTAGCGTGTGTGGGAGCCTGGAGTGTCCCTTTAATAATATAAACCCACCCAGTATAACTAACTGTAACCTAACCTACACAGTGCATCTAACGTGTGTGGGAGCCTGGAGTGTCCCTGTAATAATATAAACCCACCCAGTATAAATAACTGTAACCTAACCTACACAGTGCACCTAATGTGTGTGGGAGCCTGGAGTGTCCCTTTAATAATATAAACCCACCCAGTATAACTAACTGTAACCTAACCTACACAGTGCATCTAACGTGTGTGGGAGCCTGGAGTGTCCCTTTAATAATATAAACCCACCCAGTATAACTAACTGTAACCTAACCTACACAGTGCATCTAACGTGTGTGGGAACCTGGAGTGTCCCTTTAATAATATAAACCCACCCAGTATAACTAACTGTAACCTAACTTACACAGTGCACCTAATGTGTGTGGGAGCCTGGAGTATCCCTTTAATAATATAAACCCACCCAGTATAACTAACTGTAACCTAACCTACACAGTGCATCTAACGTGTGTGAGAGCCTGGAGTGTCCCTTTAATAATATAAACCCACCCAGTATAAATAACTGGAACCTAACCTACACAGTGCATCTAACGTGTGTGGGAGCCTGGAGTGTCCCTTTAATAATATAAACCCACCCAATATAATGCACATCAACTAGTATATATATTGGTTATATCATAGGTTAAATTAAAATTCCCAACTGATTTCAAGGATTGTATGTTTACTTGGGTAAAGTGGCAAATTCTAACAAGTTGGGAAAATAGTGTTACACTTGGGTTTAATTTCTAGAAGACGATAGTTTTGGTGTTTTATGGTAAGAGACATTATTTATAAGGTATTTCTGTGGTATTTACTGGCTTGGAGGGGGTGAGTTTTCAGTGTCTGTTTTATAGAAACAAGACTTATGCTATTAATGCACACTGTCAGTCCTTCGAAAAATATACAAAAACAGAGCCAGAATTACCTTTTATCGTCTGTTTTACTATTCCTCTTCTGAAATGAAACAATTCAAAACTAGTTTGGTACTTGGTACAGGGGGGAGTTTGGTATTTGGTACTGGAGGGGTTGGTACTTGGTACAGGGGGGAGTTTGGTATTTGGTACTCGATTGGTACTGATTGGGTTGGTATTTGGTACAGGGTGGAGCTTGGTATTTGGTTCTGATTGGGTTGGTAATTGGTACAGGGGGGGAGTTTGGTATTTGGTACTGGTGTGGTTGGTATGTTGTATTCGGGTGAGTTTGGTATTTAGTACGGGGGGAGTTTGGTATATGGCACAGGGGGGAGTTTGGAATTTGGTACAGGGGGGGAGTTTGGTATTTGGTACTGGTGTGGTTGGTATGTTGTATTCGGGTGAGTTTGGTATTTAGTACTGGGGAGAGTTTGATATTTGGTACACGTGGAGTTTGGTATTTAGTACATGGGGAGTTTGGTATTTGTTAAAGGGGGAATTTGGCATTTGGTGAAGGGGGTAGTTTGGTATTTGGTACTGGAGGGGTTGGTATGTTGTACTCAGGTGAGTTTGGTATATGGCACAGGGGGGAGTTTGGAATTTGGTACTGATTGGGTTGGTATTTGGTACAGGGTGGAGCTTGGTATTTGGTTCTGATTGGGTTGGTAATTGGCACATGGGGGAGTTTGGTATTTGGTACTGGTGGGGTTGGTTTGTTGTACTCAGGTGAGTTTGGTATTTAGTACAGTGGGGGAGATTGGTATTTGGTACACGGGGAGTTTGGTATTTAGTACATGGGGAGTTTGGTATTTAATACTTGGGGGGTTGGTACTTGGTACAGGGGGGAGTTTGGTATTTGGTACTCGAGGGAGTTTGGTATTTGGTATTGATTGGGTTGGTTTTTGGTACAGGGTGGAGTTTGGTATTTGGTACTGATGGGGTTGGTATTTGATACAGGGTGGAGTTTGATATTTGGTACTGATGGGGTTTTTATTTGGTACAGGGGGGAGTTTGATATTTGGTACTGATGGGGTTTGTATTTGGTACAGGGGGGAGTTTGGTATTTGGTATTCGAGGGAGTTTGGTATTTGGTATTGATTGGGTTGGTATTTGGTACATGGTGGATTTTGGAATTTGGTACTGATTGGGTTGGTTTTTGGTACAGGGTGGAGTTTGGTATTTGATACTGATGGGGTTGGTATTTGATCCGGGGTGAGTTTGATATTTGGTACTGATGGGGTTTGTATTTGGTACAGGGGGGAGTTTGGTATTTGGTACTCGAGGGAGTTTGGTATTTGGTATTGATTGGGTTGGTATTTGGTACATGGTGGATTTTGGAATTTGGTACTGATTGGGTTGGTTTTTGGTACAGGGTGGAGTTTGGTATTTGATACTGATGGGGTTGGTATTTTATACAGGGTGGAGTTTGATATTTGGTACTGATGGGGTTTGTATTTGGTACAGGGGGGAGTTTGGTATTTGGTACTCGAGGGAGTTTGGTATTTGGTACTGATGTGGTTGGTATTTGGTACAGGGGGGAGTTTGGTATTTGGTAATGGTAGGGTTGATACTTAGTGCTGGTAGGCCTGGTATTTGATGCAGGAGGAGTTTGGTGTTAAGTACTCTGTCGAGGCTTTTTATTCTGTTACTCCGGTCTCACTCATGTATGTTCATAGTGGGGAATCGCGATGCAGCCTAGAACAATCCCATTCAATCCCCCAACAGCCCCATTCAATCCCCCAATAACGACAGACCACTTAGTATGGATGAAACAGGCCATAGCATTTATTATCACAAACTAAATTACTGCATGACACATCCATAACTTTATTTATTAAATCTCTTCTTTTTCTGTAACCAAAAACGTTAGACATAAATAAGCATAAATTAACATATATACATATATAACTCCACACATAGTGTCCCATAGTGACCCAAGCGTCCTTGCCAATAAACATACAGTGGTTCCCAATCACCACTTCCTCTTACCTCCCCCCTCGTCATAAAAAATCATCTTTCCAATGCCCACCATCAGCCGACCTTATCCACCTCGATGGGCACGACAGCTCAGGCAACCTAATGTTAGCCGTTTGAAGCAGGGGAGGTTGAGACCTTAAAAACTTGTTCATCTCATTCCATATACTTAAACGTAACCTCAAACTCAATTGGCAAGGACATACCCCCGGCTAGCTGTGATTAAATATACTAATAGGGCGGGCAGGAGGGAAGCTGTTTGCTGGCCTGAATCCCAAGTGGCACTGAGGTAAGACCTCCCCCACACTAACTTACACAGAACATAATCCCACCCTCACACTCTTTCCCATCCAATCCCATGCATCTATCCCCACACTCCTACATGTGCCCTTGTCCGCTTAGCTGCGCTATCTCCCCAGGGCCTGTTACTGTTAGAGACTCTTCACACTAATTTTCAAGTATTGGAGGTTCAGCTTATGTGCTCAGTCATTGTTAGATCGGTCGCATTCACTAAATCACATTTGTCTGTTAGAGCTTTTTTTCAGTGGTCACAAGGAAGTCCATTCATCCAACAACAACATGAAGTCGCCCACCACATTACCAGACACCCCCCAGCCAACAGCAGAATCAGCTCCGACTGAGAGTCCAGAGGAGGAAGAGGAGGAGGACGAGACAGAGGAAGGAGATGGGGAGCTTGGACAGGTAAGCTAAGCAACCATGGCCTCCCTTATCTTATCTTAGAGAGATTAGTGGACTGATTTCTTGCAGCCAAATAGATTAATTGTGAATAACCTTCCGAGTCATAATCTGGGGGCAATATATATTAAACACTAGCATTAATAAACAGAAAGTCTTGACTTGATTTTTAGACCAGTCTTGGTACCAATATGCATTACTTCGAACTCACTAGTATCCTCACATTTAATGGAGCCCTTTCCACACTCCCCTGTAATGGCTCAACACTCAGGAATTAAACTCACACATGCGTAATGTTTGTACCATTACTGTACCCCAAGAGCTTAGGGCACAATTACAGTCCATGATTTAGGTATTGCTCAGCTCTTCACCACTGGGATTTCTGATAAAATCTTGACCATTGGGGTGAATTGAGGACTGAGGTAGGATTCACTGAAGATGAACCAGAAGGCTCTTAAATGTCACAAATTGAAGTATTTTTTAAGAATGCATCAATTTGTTTATATAATCACCCTTAGTTTATCTCCTCACAGAAATGCTTCAAGACTCCCAATGGCTTTATGTGTGAGTCCAAAGCTAACTCCAACAACTATGATATCACTGAGCTGGCTACCTCCTCGCTCATTGGTAAGAAGCCATTCTGCATGAAAGACAGGAAGTCCATGATAACTGCCATTTTGTATGTTAACATTTATGAAGTCATGTTAGAGTGTTGCTGGGTGAGGTATTGAGGTCCTTGTATTATCTGTGACACATGAACCCTCATTGTATGTGACATTGGGGCCCTTGGTGTATTCATGAAAAATTATGATCCTCTGTGTATCTGTGAGACATGGCCCTTAGTGTGTTTGTGAGACAGGAGCTCTTGTCCATGAGACATTAAGAGATTGGACGCTTGGTCTATCCATGACACGTTGGGACCCTCTGCATATCTGTGAGACACTGTGAACCTCTGGGTATCTGTCAGAGGATTTTCCTGTCAGGGGTCTATGATATCCATGTAAGAAGTAGGTAACCCTTATTTCCCTGTTAGCATTAGGTGTCTCTGGTTTCTCTGCCAGATGTGCCCCTGGCCGGGGCAGATTTCACCCTTGCTCTGTGTTACACACTGGGTGAACTAATGAGACAGTGTCACTATATTTTCTGGTGTAATTAGCCGTGATCCAGAGATTAACAAGCCACAAGTTACTGTGGAAACAACATGATTTGGAATCTCAGTCCTTCCATTTTGCAGGGAGCTGGCTGTAACCTGTAGGAAAAGAGAGATTAAATGTTCTACATTATTCAGTACTTACCCGCGTATCCCTGTACACTGCATTAACGAAGGGCAGGAAATATCACCAGATTCGTACTGAGTGACAATGGCTTTTTATTTGTTTATTTTTTTAGTGTAGAATAGAACAGACACAAAGCTGCAATAATTTAGGGTAAATCATTAATCTGCTTAATTCCTCGCTAAACACGTTGCTGTTTAAAGAACATGATGTACTGTTTGCATCACTTTATACCTACCAGGCTGTTCTCAGAGAGGACAAAGCGCACCACATTAGGCCCAAATAGACCTGGTTTGGGGGCGTTTGATATATTCATCAGTATGAGTCAAAAGGGGCTTCTTTACCATCAAATGTTATATTGTGAAACATGTCTGTATTTTACTTGTTGAGGACCTACGGACATTCCAACCATTCAATCCAATTTCTTTATCTTTAAAAACATTAAACTTATTAAACTTCAAACTAAATTCCTAAAATAGCCAAGATGTATCTAGAGCGTAATCGTAGGACTTATCCAAATCCCGAAATCATGCCATTTGGAATTTGATATGCTGCCATTTGGAGTTTATGAAGCTTTTGAGAGCATTCCCCATCCTCACTGAGTCACCCTGACACTAAGGGAGGCCTGCAACAAAAACAGTAACAAATAATTACTACTTCTTGTGTTTAGCACTAATAGTAATCTACTAATTAAATAGCGAGTTAGGAATGTCATAATTGTGCAAGCATCTTCATAGAGCTAGGAGAAATGCAGTGCCTTCGCTGACATCATGCTATAAATACACAGTAATGTGCTGTTTAATGTAAGTGATATTTATTGTGGCCGGTATTGACTATTTATCACAGTAGGGCAATTAAATTCGCTGTCTTGTTTTTTACTGGTAAATCACAAATAAAAAAATGAAACCGGAAGTTTATTATGACAAAGTTTTTCTCACACACGGCTCATTTTAATGATTATTTTTTCATTTAGTTAGTGGTTAATACACACCACAAAGATAGCATGCTCCAAGAAGTGTAGGGTCCATTATACCTCTCCATGCTAGGTCCATTATACCTCTCCATTTTAGGTCCATTATACCTATCTATGCTAGGTCCATTATACCTCTCCATTTTAGGTCTATTATACCTCTCCATGTTAGCTCCATTATACCTCTCTATGTTAGGTCCATTATAGCTCTCCATACTAGATCCATTATACCTCTCCATGCTAGGTCCATTATACTTCTCTATGTCACATCCATTATACCTCTCCATGCTACATCCATTATATCTCTCCATGCTAGGTCCATTATACCTCTCCATGCTACATCCATTATACCTCTCTATGTTAGGTCCATTATAGCTCTCCATACTAGATCCATTATACCTCTCCATGCTAGGTCCATTATACTTCTCCATGCTACGGACAATAAAATAGGGATGGGTGAATAATCGAGTTAGGGCATACCAGTGATGTAACTTTTGTGGAAAGCAGTTCGGTAGCCTAGCTGACATGTTGGCCTGCCCCATTAAAGGGACAAACTAGGCAATAGTTTGTCCCTTTAATGGGGCAGGCCAACATGTCCATCTCATTGAAGTGGTTATGGTGCTCAGAGTTTCCTGATGATATCCCTTCATTCAGTGTTAAACCATTTTAGAGCAGTGTTACAATGAAAGAGGGTCTCTGATTTCCCCCAGCCTGGCCCCCATCGGCCCATACTGATTTGCTGTGATGAGTACATGTCTAGAGATTATTTTTCTACTCCTCCACCCTAACTTCACCCGCATACACAGCACCATGGGAGGTCAAGCTCACTTGCATTCTAGGCCGTGGTTGTGCCCTGTCAGCTTATTGAAGGAATCACTACTCCTACTTCTATCAATTGACCTAGAACTGGTATGAAATGTATACCTTTCTCTGCCCACATAGGCCTTGTGCAAACCATTAAAGATCACATCACCAAGCCGACTGCCATGGCACGTGGACGAGTTGCCCACCTCATTGAGTGGAAGGGCTGGAGTGCGCCGCAGTCTGGCTGGGATCCCTCACTGACTGATGAAGACAATTACTCTGACCTGACCGACGAATTGAAGGAAGCGCGTTTTGCAGCAGGTAAGATCTGAACAGGAAGCAGGACACAAAAAATCAGTGTCTGTCACCGGGAGATAACCTGCACCCCGTGTCTGTCACTGGGAGACAACCTACTCCCCATGTCTGGCACTGGGAGACAACCTGCTCCCCGTGTCTGGCACTGGGAGACAACCTGCACCCCGTGTCTGGCACTAGGAGATAACCTGCACCCCGTGTCTGGCACTGGGAGATAACCTGCACCCCGTGTCTGGCACTGGGAGATAACCTGCACCCCGTGTCTGGCACTGGGAGATAACCTGCACCCCGTGTTTGGCAAAGCAGGTCCTCTTTGTATTGTCAGTGTTCCGTAATGGGGTTTTGCCTTGTTCTTACAGGTGTCGCTGAGCAGTTCGCCATCACTGAGGCAACGTTAAGTGCTTGGTCCTCCCTTGACGATGAAGAAATGCAGTATGGGCTGGGGTCTCAAGAGGTTCGGCAGATTCAAGGTAAGCTGGCATTAGAGACGTTAGAAGGGATCTATCCACACCATCCTAATGTCATCACTCAGGCTGGTGTTGTGTATTGTACGATGACATACGATACAGATAGTAAATAGTATACTTGCAAAAACACAATATACAGGGAGATAATTTTTAATTAGTTGGGTAATTATACGGGTGTAAGTGAGATATTAAACAATAAATTTAATATAGAAGAACAATGTGTCTTATTTACACAGATATCTAAACACATTTATTGTAGTGTAACACAATTACTTGGAGTATTATTACTGTGGAGCTCTGTTATACACTCAGACACATTACTGGGAGTATTAATGCTGTGGAGCTCTGTTATACACTCAGACACATTACTGGGAGTATTATTTCTGTGGAGCTCTGTTATACACTCAGACACATTACTGGGGGTATTATTGCAGTGGAGCTCTGTTATACACTCAGACACATTACTGGGAGTATTGTTACTGTGGAGCTTTGTTATACACTCAGACACATTACTGGGAGTATTATTGCTATGGAGCTCTGTTAGACACTCAGACACACCCTAGAAAAGAGGGACATTAGGAGAGAAAATAGGGACAGGGGGATTTCAGCCTTAAATAGGGACGGCCCCTCCCAGGGCCAAATTAAGAGCCCAGTGGGCCTGGTGCTGACAATTATGATGGGGTCTAATTACAGAATCTTATCGACCAAAAACACTAAAACAGTCATACCTCTCAAGCGTCATCTATCTGATGGAGTTGGTGTTGGAGGGAAACTCAAAGGATGCAGCTAAAAGAAAACACATACTCTATGCTAATCTCTCTCTAATTTATGCTTTCATCTTTCAAGTAAATCCATACCCCCTAACAGCAGTGTCCAGTGAAGCAGGAAGTCAATTGGCGGGGTAAAAGGGTGGGCCACTGATGCAAATCATGTGACCAGAACTGCCAAAAGGAGTGAATATGCCCAAAAAAGGGGCATGTCTGTCCAAAGAATTGGAAGGCCAACCTGGCATCAGTGTCCCTTTGTATCACAGTGTCAGTGTCCCCATGTCACCCAGTCCCCTAGTCTCCCAGTGTGTATCCCCATGTCTCAGTGTCTCCCATGTCACTAGGATACAAGGGGACACTGAGAGACTTGGGGACACAGTGAGACTTGGGGACACTGGGAGACATGGGGGCACTTGTGGGTACAGACATGGGGACACTGGGAGACATGGGGACACAGACATTTGGGGACACTGGGAGAAATGGGGTCACAGACACTAGGGACACAGAGACATGGGGACACAGACATTTGGGGAAAATAAGACACTATGGACACTGAGAGACATGGGAACACAGACACTGGGAGACTAGGGAACACTGGGAGACATGGGGACACTGGGAGACATGGGGACACAGGGAGACATGGGGACACTGGGAGACATTGGAACACTGAGAAACTGGCTGGGAGATCTAGGGACACAGACATTTGGGGACACTGGGAGACATGGGGACAGAGACACTGGGAGACTAGGGGACACTGGGAGCCATGGGGACACTTGGAGACATGGGGACACAGACATTTGGGGACACTGGGAGACATGGGGACACAGACACTGGGAGACATTGGAACACTGAGACACTGGCTGGGAGATCTAGGGACACAGACAATTGGGGACACTGAGAGACATGGGGACAGAGACACTGGGAGACTAGGGGACACTGGGAGCCATGGGGACACTGGGAGACATGGAGACACTGTGTCCCTAGTGTCTCCGTGTCTTAATGTGTCTCCCTATATCTCACAGCGTCCCCATGTCTCACAGTGTCCCCTAGTGTCTCAGTGTCCCCATGTCTCTCAGTGTCCCCACATCTCTCAGTATCCCCATGTCTCCCTGCTGCCTTTCCCCCATCCTTCACATACCTGAGCTGTAGTCTGTCTGCAGGCTGGGAGCTGCTGTCTGGACTCTCTGTGCTGTGTAGTTGCTCCCCCACGGATCAGTGAGTAGAGAGAGGCAGGGAGATGCTGTAACTATCCCTTCATCTTCACACACAGTGACCCCTACTGGACGGTGCTGGTATTGCAGAGTAATCTCCGTTTATACTGAGAAAAATACCAGCATTTGCATTGCCGGTATTACTGCAATACCGTCACAGCCAGGCACTCTCAAATACTGGTAAAATACCAGTCAGTTGCTAAAAAAATTTTTTACAAAATAAATAAATACAAATATATGCAGCTCCATCAGCCCCTATGTTAATCCAGCCCTGGCCCCTCCTAAATGGGGACACTTGGGAGGTATTGGTATGTTCTAATACAGAGTTTGTTAGTATGTGCTTGTACTGTTACTTATTAGCTCTAATATAGAGATAGTTGGTTTGTTCTAATTTAGAGATAGTTTGTTCTAATAAAGAGATAGTTTGTTTGTTCTAATACAGAGATAGTTGGTTTGTTCTAATACAGAGATAGTTTGTTTGTTTTAATACTAAGATAGTTGATTTGTTCTAATACAGAGATAGTTGGTTTGCTCTAATACAGAGATAGGTGGTTTGTTCTAATACAGAGAGAGTGGGTTTGTTCTAATACAGAGATAGTTGTCTTGTTCTATTACAGAGATAGTTGGTTTGTTCTAATACAGAGATAGTTGTCTTGTTCTATTACAGAGATAGTTGGTTTGTTCTAATACAGAGATAGTTGTCTTGTTCTATTACAGAGATAGTTGGTTTGTTCTAATATCGAGATAGTTGGTGTGTTCTAATACAGAGATAGTTGGCTTGTTCTAATATCGAGATAGTTGGTGTGTTCTAATACAGAGATAGTTGGCGTGCTCTAATACAGAGATAGTTGGTTTGTTCTAATATCGAGATAGTTGGTTTGTTCTAATACAGAGATAGTTGGTGTGTTCTAATATTGAGATAGTTGGTTTGTTCTAATATCGAGATAGTTGGTTTGTTCTAATACATAGATAGTTGGCTTGTTCTTATTTAGAGATAGTTGGTTTGTTCTAAAACAGAGATAGTTGGTGTGTTCTACTACAGAGATAGTTGGTTTGCTCTAATACAGAGATAGTTGGCTTGTTTTAATACAGAGATAGTTGGTTTATTCTAATACAGAGAGAGTTGGTTTGTTTTACTAAAGAGAGATTTGGTTTGTTCTAATACAGAGATAGTTGGCTTGTTCTTATTTGGAGATAGTCGGTTTGTTCTTATACAGAGAGAGTTGGCTTGTTCTAATACAGAGATAGCTGGTTTGTTCTAATATAGAGATAGTTGGTTTGTTCTACTACAGAGATAGTTGGCTTGTTCTTATTTAGAGATAGTTGGTTTGTTCTTATACAGAGATAGTTGGCTTGTTCTAATACAGAGATAGCTGGTTTGTTTTAATACTAAGATAGTTGGTTTGTTCTAATACAGAGATAGTTGGCTTGTTCTAATACAGAGATAGTTGGCTTGTTCTTATATAGAGATAGTTGATAAACTTTTTCTTGGTTAATGCTGAAGCTGTTAGCGAGGAATAAATTGCCCAGGATCCATCTGCCAGCTGCTTGCGCTGCCCTCCTGGGGCAGAGATGTCGCTGCACTGGGTGTCCCAGAGAAACCAACTGAGCTGTTGTGAGCTGCTTCTATTCCTGGTTCTGTGCGCTGATTAATGGGACTAACCCATTTCTGTTGGTGTCGGTGACAGGCAGTTTATCTGGGAGCTATGACTGCGGAGAATGTGCAGCAATCTGGGTCACAACAGGGAGTAGGCAATACAGAGTGCCACATCCTCCCTAAAAACTTCTCTGACTGTGAAGGTGCATTTCTTTATTGATTGTCTCTGTTTTTGGCCTAGTTCTGCAGAGGAGGGTTTCGATTGGTTGATCGCTATTTCGATTAGCCATCAGTAATGTTAGATAATTAACCCCTAAAGGACCGTAGATATTTCAAGTCTCATTACACTCAGATCCCCAAAGACCTTTTGTCTCAGGTCCAGATTGTTATGATAACATGAACCATGAACCTTAAGGAGTTAAAGAAAATTAGTGCTGCGTCTTTTTCCAGCTTGGATTGAAAGCACCATAACCACTTAATTCATTGAAGTGTTTATGGTGTCTAAATAAGAGTCCCCAGCGGCCTCTGTGCGGCTTGAGCTAAAAAGGAAACAAAAGCTGAGAGTGTCAGCTGACCGCCTATAACAGCACTCATTGCTGGTATGAATCGGTATGGCTAGAAGGAAGTGTGTTATCTCTGCCTTAGCCACACCTTCAGTGGGGGCGGGATTGTAGGTGGCCAGAGAACCTTTTTTCCTGTTAAATTGAAAATGGACTAATACTGAATGGAGGGACACCACCAGGGGACTCCAGAAACTATAACCACTTCAATTAGATGAAATGGTTCATAGTACCTATAGTTTCCCTTTGACCCTGTTTTTGTGCTTTAATGGAGAATTGCATTGGTGAACGAATCTTAAATCTTCGAGTTAGTTCAGATATTTTATTGAGCAATGTGCTTACTTTACAACGATATAAGTACCTTGTACATCACTGCGGAGTATGTTGGCGCTCCATATATAATGTGAAATAAGAAATCCAGTGGAAGCCTGTACTGTTGCACTGCTCTTTGTCTTCCCCTTAAATTCTGGGTTTCTAAGTTCCCTGGGAATAGAGGACCAGAGAACGGCAAATGTTAGACTTACATAGCTCAGCAGGAAAAGAATTGAGTTTGGCTATTTAGCAATTTCTTAATTGATTCTCCACAATATTCAGTGCAGTCAGCAGCCCTATGGAGAATTCAGTGAAGTTCAATTTTTACTCCAAACCAGCCAATCTGGAAACATAGGAATCCAGGGATGCATTCTGCTAAATGTCTATTGACCCCCAGAAATTGTAAATGTCTATTTTGTGTTTACCTTGCAGATCTGGAGAGCCTCTACCTCCAGGGGCGGCTGCTGAGTTACGCTCATGGTGCCTGTGGCTCCGATCTTGGTGGGAGTCTTCCCGGCTTGTCTCACTCATCAGCTATATCCTTGGCTGTAGCACCTCAGCAGCTGCTCCCCGCAGAGGCATGGGATGTTTCCGAGGTGCGGCCAATGCAGTCCGTTTTTCATTGCCCGCTGTTCAACGCAGCCAGGAGTAGCAGTTCGGATAATGCCAAAATACCAGCGGCAGGTGAAGGAGACATCGCTCCTGAATCCTGCAAACCACGACTCAACAACTCACTGCACTACGTAGACAGTAGCTCCCAATCCGAAGACGAGGTGTTTTATAACTAGGTGGCTTGTAGACAATGCCCATGGGACACCTACAAATAGGGAGGCCACCTTACGTATTGGGTCAAGTCGATCACCTTACTTACTAAGATGGTGATATTAGTGCCAAGACACAGCGATCTCTGGTCTCCACCAGCGGCACCAAACAGCCTGCTGCTATGTATTGTCTGTGAATTAACAATTTATTAGATTCAAGCTCACAGAGATGACATGATTTTACTAAGCACGAAGAATGTATTGTACAGAAAACAGGGCAGTCGTGACGTTTACTGCCCGTGGGTTGGCAATAACTGGAAATAGATTCACCTTGATACTGCCACTAGGACAATAACTTCCAACCAGCTGGAGTAGCAAAGCATTGTGGGCAAGATCCAACTCGCAAAGGAAGATATTTCAGTGACTCCGGCTGAGGATGTACCCATAGATTCTGCAATATAGTTATTATCTGTTGCACCTTTTTTTCAGATTTACTTGAAATCAGCTGTTACTTGGATGGAAATGGCAATACGTGTCTTCAGAAAAAGCCGCAGCCTTATTGTTTGGGACGTTTTTGCTGATGTGTATATGGGTGAGATACGGTTTGGTGTGCCTGAGGACGTCTGTATTTCTGTGATGCCTTTTAGTGAGTGTTGGCCGTCGTGTGTCATGTCCGGTATGCTAATATCCATGTGGATTTCCACTTGTACTCCAGCAATACTGAAGGCTTAATATGATAGAATATTAGATTGTAAAGTAACAAGGACAATTCAGGGAGTTAGGATTTAATAGTAGAAAATTATTTAGGGAAACAGCAATCTGGGTCTGAAGCGATACTCCCAATCTGGTACCAAAAATTAAAAAAAAAAGAAAACAGAGTCTCTACGAGTGTGGTACCCCAAATTCCTATTGTACGACTCGCACTCCAATACTGTAGTACCCAACATTCTCTTTGGAAAAATGTGTCACTCCGGGAGGATGATACCCCAAATTCTATCTGCAATGGTGGCGTTTTGAGAGTGTGAAACCCCAACATTCTTTTTACAAGAGGTACCCCTTATTGTCTTTAATTTTTAAAATACCTGGAATCCAAAGTTGTAGTTATAACAGTGGCACCCTATGGGCATGAGATGCCCATAGGGTGCCACATTCTCATCTCATAAGAGGCCCTCTAAGAGAATATTAGCTCAAGTTCTCCAATTCTCGTGCTACCCTGAATTTTTCATTAGAAGAGTTGTCAGTGGGAGCGTAGCTATGTATATATATATTTGTATGTTGTCTATGAGCAATGTGGATTAGTGGGCACTGTGTGTAGCTTTAAATATACAGCTGGAACCATTTCTGTCATTGTCTTATGAAAAAAGAGGGTAAACATTGTCCTCTTCACTGGAATCTGAATAGCTCACCAGCCACAGGCAAAAGTTCCTGATATTTCTATGACTCTAATAAAAACAGTGTCACAAACTGAGAGAGATTTCATTGTTGGGCAGCCATGTTTCATAAGATGAACCCATAGATTTCAACCTCCTAATAAAGCAAATGCTCTGAAGCCAAATCACACTTTCATACATGGTGCTCTAGTGACATCCATTGGCTATTGTAGGAATTACATGTATAGAGGCAGACGACATGCTGTACAGTCTATTTAATTATTCAAAATTAGAGTTCTAAAAACAGAGTAAAATAGACAGGGTTATATACACTAAAGTGAGAATTGAAAGTAAATTCAAAGTAAATTTCAAATTTAACACCACAGCAGCCGAGTTGACTTTTTACAGCCAGGCTATGTTAACGTTAAATTTGAAATTCACTCTGAATTCTCACTTTTAGTAAATAAAATCCTTATAGTGTTTACAGTAATATGGTGAATCTGGTGGTCGAGTGGTAGGAATTAGCATAAAGCCAGTGTACGTACATTTATCAAACATCCTGAGAAGACACTAAAAATAAAAAGATATTTTCATATAATATAAAATGTCTACTTAATACGCTCAGTCTGAACTCTGTCGTCCTCCCTGATTGTTTAGTCTTTTGAACGTAATAACATTCCGCAGTCGGTATAAAGGCCAGTTCTGGGTTTTAATAGTGCAGCATCAGCGGGAACATTCCATTAGTTTCCATGGTAACCGCTCCACTTTCAGCACTCCAGAATTGCTCTTTATATGAACTCCTGCTGGGGTCTGCCCCGACATTGGCCTCAGGAATGCGTGATATTGGGGTAATAAGTGTTTCCCCTCCAGAGGTTCAGACATCTTGTGTGTTTCATTTTGGGTTTGCAAGACCTTCAATGGCTTTCCTGAGCTGGAAGACAAAGAGTCCTGCGTTAATCGTCCATGCTGTGTTCATACAAGGGTTCACTGAACAAACAGACCCAAAAATAATAGTTTCTGTTCTACCGCAAAAATGGATTTTACACTACGAGACAGCTTTAATAAATATCAATGTCATATACAGTCTGTTCCAAATTATTATGCAAATGATATTTTTCTCATTTACCTAAATAACTGATGTAAATAACAGTCAGCATAATTCTCATGTTATCAACTATTAAGAGTACAATTCAAATTGTATTGAACAAACCTCCTAATGATAACAGTATTTTTTTTAAACATAAAAAACTTACAATGCACTGTTCCAAATTATTACGCACAGTAAGTTTCAAAACACTTTATAGGTTGTAAAGAACTGAAAATTGTCATTTGTTGTGTTTGCAGCATATTTACTGAAATCAAAAGCTATTTCAATCAAACTTATAACAACATTTTAACTTTTTAACCCCTTAAGGACCAAACTTCTGGAATAAAAGGGAATCATGACATGTCACACATGTCATGTGTCCTTAAGGGGTTAAACATTTTAACAGGTCACGTTACATTTTAACAGTTCTTCCCTTATTTGATAGCAGCTTCACAAGTCTTGCACCCATTGAACTTGTGAGTTTTTGGACAGTTTCTGCGTGAATTTGTTTGCAAGATGTCAGAATAGCCTCCCAGAGATGCTGTTTGGATGTAAACTGCCTCCCACCCTCATAGATCTTTTGCTTGAGGATGCTCAAAAGGTTCTCAATAGGATTGAGGTCAGGGGAGGATGGAGGCCACACCATCACTTTCTCTCCTTTTATCCCCATAGCAGCCATATATGCTGAGGTGTTCTTTGCAGCATGAGATGGTGCATTGTCATGCATGAAGATGATTTTATTATGGAAAGCATAGTACTTCCTTCTTTACCAGGGAAGAAAGTGGTCAGTCAGAAACTCTACATACTTTGCAGAGGTCATCTTTACACCTTCAGGGATCCTAAAGGGGCCGACCAGCTCTCTTCCCATGATTCCGGCCCAAAACATGACTCCCCCACCACCTTGCTGACGTCGCAGCCTTGTCATAACAGGGTGGCCGTCCACCAACCATCCACTACTCCATCCAGGGTTGCACGGCACTCAGTGAAAATTAGTCTTCATGTATTTTTCTGCCCAATGCAGCCGTTTCTGCTTGTGAGCATTGGTTAGTGGTGGCCAAATAGAAGGTTTACGCACAGTTGCAAGACTCTGGAGGACGCTACACCTTGATGTCCGTGGGACTCCATAGGCACCAGCAGCTTCAAATATCTGTTTGCTGCTATGTAATGGTATTTTAGCAGCTGCTCTCTTGATTCGATGCATGGATCTTGCAGAAATCTTCCTCAATGTGCCTTTATCTGCACGAACCCATCTGTGCTCTGAATCAGCCACAAATCTCTTAAAAGTGCAATGATCACGCTTAAATTTTCGTGAAATATCTAATGTTTTCATAATACACAAAAGGAGTACTGTATAATATCCCAAAAGAAAAACCAAATGGTAATGCTAAACACCCAAAAGTGTACCTCACATACACCAATATAATATATAACAAGGAAAGTAAATCTATACCACACCAAAAAAGTAAAAGTATAGATTAAAGGGGTAGCATACAAATATCATGAATATATATATATATTTCTTATTCACTGTATTAATTGTTATTTCTTTTATAGATTACTATCTTTGTGCAATAGTCATTATTATTTATATATGGGGAAATAAATAGGTATATTTAATAATTCTGATTCTTATGTGGTTATATATTTTATATGTTCGTTTATATGTCTTTACTGTATACACATGGAAGCTTTCTTTGTTCCACTTTGGGGCGCTCGGCTTTTTGGGCTTGTTCTAGTCCGGGCTGTCGTGCGTTCCAGGGTGGAACGCGGAAGTTCTCGAGTTGTATATAATTATCGATGTCATTATATGCGTTCCAGAATGGAACGCGTAAATTATTCTGACGTCTGTGCCCATGAACGTGGTCGTTATTACGTCCAGCCAATGAGAGACGGGGACAGACGGAACTTGATAGAATTTTTGCGGCTAATTTTGAAAATCATCCATATTTACTGTTATATAAGGAAACAGTTCTTCCGATCTATTTACATCCCTGAAGAAGTCTATAAACGACGAAACGCGTTGGATTAAAGATCTGGACATTTGGTTTCCAGTTTTTATTGTCTCTTTTTTTTTATTTTATGCATATTCCTTTCTGTTATATTTTTTTTTGACTGTACTCCACTTGCTGTAGACGGACCTTCTCTATATGGTTCCACTTGTTAGTGGAGATACGCTGGCTAATTGCAGTTCAAATGTAAGTGCAATCAGTGCATATAAATGTATTTTCTTTTACAATACTGCTCTATATAGTTTTTTTTCCTTTGAGGATTTGGTATTCTGAATATACTTTCGCCTACATCGAAGATCCTTCGCAAAGAAAGTCAAGCACCGTTCTAAGATACCCTGAAAAAGAGGGAGATAAGCGTAGATCACCAGAATTTCTTATTTTCTCAAGATCATTTCCTGTTATATACAGGTTGTATGTTTCATGATATTTGTATGCTACCCCTTTAATCTATACTTTTACTTTTTTTGGTGTGGTATAGATTTACTTTCCTTGTTATATCTAATGTTTTCATACCTCGTCCAAGGCATTGAACTATTTCACTCTTTTCGGCAGCAGAGAGATCCTTTTTCTTCCCCATATTGCATGAAAATGGTGCTCTGCTTAATAATGTGGAACACCCTCCTAGTAGTTTTTCCTTAAATTGGGCTCAACTGGCAATATAATTATCACAGGTGTCCGAGATTGTTTTCAGTAATCAAAAGAGCCCTGAGACACAATGTCATCCATGAGTTAAACTGAAAAACAAAATATTTCATCTTTGTGACACTTAAATAGAATTTGCATAATAATTTGGAACAGGGTGTAGAACTTAGCTCCTCCCAGTACGGCAATGAGAGACCTACACTGGTAAAGCATCATGGAAGTGAGACTGTCCCTTCAGGGTTTGTGCAGTGCTGCTGTTTGAAGAAACAATTTGAATTAATTAACGAGCTCTGAGTAATTGGCATCACTAGTAAATTATACCTCGTTCCTGGTAACACTTCCTACAATCTTGCCAAATTTGGTGACAAACACGTGTTGGAGACTCAGCAACTCAAACAGATGATGCGCCTGAGATACGGGGAAAAGAGACAACGTACATCAGCAGGGTCCAGGATACCATTACACCTCCAGAACCCAGAACCATTACACCTCCAGACCCATTACACCTCCAGAACCCAGAATCATTACACCTCCAGGTCAGAACCCAGAATCTTCACATCTCCAGGGCAGAACCCAGAACCTTCATATCTCCAGGTCAGAACCCAGAACCACTATAACTGTATATCAGGACGCAGAACAATGATATCTGCATGTTAGAACCCAGAACCATTATATCTCCATCCCTGAACCTTTATACTCTAATTGGAAAGTCCCTTACTTACTTCATGCAGAGATGTCCAGGTGGATAACTGGAAGGTAACGGGTTCGATAGAACATCCATCCTTAAGGGTCCCCTGGCATGTTATCTGGGGGGGGATATGGTTATTGGTACATTATTGGTATCTTTACCTATAAAGCTAAAGAGACAATCTAAGCAACATAACTACCACTGGTCAGTGTATCATTATAGATCATTGTGTTATTACAGCTTATTGTATTATTGCAGCTCATTATATTATATTATTACAGCCCATTATATCATTACGGTTTTAGCATTATTATAGATCATTATTACAGCTCATAATATTATATTACTACAGATTATTGCATTATTACAGCTCATATCATTATATCATTACAGCTTATTGTATTATTACAGCTCATTATATTATATTATTACAGCTCATTATATCATTACAGCTTATAGCATTATTATAGATCACTGTGCACCGTGCCCTGTCTAACCGTTCTGTTTGTGGCGAAAGGTTTGTTATTGTACGAGGGCAGTTTTAGGTGACAATAGTGAGAACCAGAAAAACGTAATTGCACCTAACATTAATGTGAATACTTTCCTTCTATTCAGTTGGAAAAAGCTCTAGATGCATCGAATTCCAATTAAATTCACCCAGAATAAGATGATACGATCAGGACACAAGGAGAATGTGGTTTATTGGATGAAACGTGGGTCATGGAGCCACGTTTAGGACGTGAATCTACTATAAGATTAGATTTCATTTTGAAATTGCGTGTTTCCTATAGAATTCAATAGGAAAACTTGTATTCAATTCTAGAGTTAGGGTTATCTCTGATATATATATATGATATTGGGATCTAACCCTTTATCTCTGGATCTGTACATTAATTGTTCAGAGAGGCCCCAACTAATGAAGGGGCTGTCTGCTATCACTACGGGGTTTATTTGCTACTGAGGAGTACCCAGAACCAAACGGCCGGAATTAGGCCGTAATAGCTCTTGGGCTAATTTCTGCATTTGGATCCAATATCAACTAGTCAGTGAATATGAAAAACACGTTTACCTACCTTACTGTCACTCATCTGTAGGTGCTGCTGGGATTCGTGAGTCTCCAGAAATCGTCTCAGCTGTGATCTCATTACTTTTCCCACCAGAATGAGCGACTCTGTGAAGGGCAGGTGAGCGAGTGGGTACCAGTAATTAGACAATAGTTTAGGAAATGTTTTTCCCACCTTAGCCCCTGCCTTGTAATATTATGAAATGATCTGAAATTCATCTGGATATTTTGAAAAAATTGTTTATTTTAACTAAAGATTGAAATTAATTACATTTACATTCTAATGTTGCATTAAAGGAACACTACAGGTTTAGGTATATAAACATGTATTCCTAACGCCATAGTGTTCTCCTACCTGTTTAGGTACCACCTCCTAACTGTGGGTGATTGGAGATGTGAGTATTACTTACTGTTCAGCCCTCAATAAACTCCACCTCCAAAGCTGTGATCATCAAGATGGATGATCTCAGCCAATCCAAAGCTTCCCTAGCTAGTGCGCATTTGTGTCAAATTGCTGTGATGCGCCAATCAAATGCTCCCAATGAGCAAGATTTGATAGACAACTGATTCTGGCTTGGTTTTCACAGGGTAAGAGGCGGTCAGTAAGACAGCTACTAAGGGGGTGTTTAATTCTGCAATGGAAACATTTATGTATCAAACAAACTGCAACGTTTTACAAAAACAGCACTTGAGACGCAATGGTCTGCATGCCTCTAATATCCCTTTAATATTAGATTTTGGCCAACCAATCCCCCAAATATTATTTCATGGAAAATAAAACGGTCTCTTTCCCAGAGTTTTGCCCTAGTTGCGCAGAGTTAAACTAATACAACATGGGCCACCAGACAACAAGGAACAGGGTTCCAGATGCATGCTGGGACGTGGCATGTTTTAGGTATTGAGCAAAAATCTACAATTTAAATATATCCCCCAAAAATGTATTTTCCAAATATGAATCATGTATCCCATCTTCGCACTGCAGTGTCAGAGTCTTACTGTGACCATCTGCCTGGCGTGGATTGTGTGCTGATAGACCTGTTCTGGCACAGCCGATGATTCCCAGTATGTAAACAAATTATAGCGTAAGGTAGAGGCAGCCAATGGTACATCCTCAGCTGTTAACCTTTAATATGAAATACTCTTTACCTGTATTCTCCACCACAGGGAATTCCAAATCTTCAGATGAAGTCATTACCATGAGGACATCATCAAAGCTGGCCTCTGTGGATAGGACCTTGACATCTGTGTTCATAAATGTCTCAGTGTTCACCTTGTATGAGCTAAAAGCAAAGAGAATGATTTAAAGAATAGATTTAGAGTTCCCCAGCTTTTTTTCCCCCCCATCTTGTGACTGGATTTCTTCCCATGTAATAGCCTTTGGCTAGTTGACCCTCACTTTATTTGCCGGCTGCGTATCCTCGGCAAGTAGGGAAGTTTCTTCACAATGATGGTGCCATCATAGAATGATGGTTGGAACTTCTGGGTGATGGCGTTGGCGACTAGGACTGCGAGAATCACTGGAAGGATGTGTGCGATCTGACCAGTGGCTTCAAATGCGAGAAGCGCAGTCGAGAGAGAATGTGTAACGGACCCAGAATAAGCAGCCGCTCCTAAAAACAGAAAATAGACAGTGAGCTGAGACTGGTTTTCCAAATAAATATTTCGGTTACATTACCAACATGGCCCATTGGTGCATAAGGTTAGACCTGATGAATTACTATTTGAATTGCTAATAAATTGCGATAGCAAACCTGAGTGAATTCTAACATTTTCTAAATTATAATTGGCAGCTTATGCTCTTTGATGGCTGCCCGTTGTGGCCAAAAAACCAACAGAGTGCATATTGAGGCCAAGCTGCAATCTAACATTTATATTTAAAAGATAATGTTATCCAACTTGTGGCCAGAGTCTATGAAGGTCTTCAATGGAGTCTCAATACAAACATATAGATAGAATTGCTCCTCACCTGCCAGCGCGTAACCTCCAGGTATGATGGGGTTAATGACACCATCTGAGTTTATGCCATTTGGAAATATATAGGATACAGTTTCCCCCACTAGTCGCCCAATTGCAGCACCTATGGACAGAGTGATTGGGAGATAATACAGGAAGCAAAAGACATGAGTGATAAAATGATGCTGTCGAGAGAATAGGAATTTTTTTACTGGAGAGAATGTGGAATGAAGCGGTTACAGGAAAAAAAACCTATACTAATGGTGTTGGATCGGAATTGTAGAAAGAATTATATAAGGAGAGGATCTGACATAATACTATTACAGCACGGGAATATAAATGAATGCTATGACAGCACAGGAATGTGAATGAATGCTATGACAGCACAGGAATGTGAATGAATGCTATGACAGTACGGGAATGTAAATGAATGCTATGACAGTACGGGAATGGGAATGAATGCTATGACAGTACGGGAATGGGAATGAATGCTATGACAGTACGGGAATGGGAATGAATGCTATGACAGTATGAGAATATAAATGAATGCTATGACAGCACAGGAATGTGAATGAATGCTATGACAGTACGGGAATATAAATGAATGCTATGACAGCACAGGAATGTGAATGAATGCTATGACAGTACGGGAATGTGACTGAATGCTATTACAATACGGGAATGTGACTGAATGCTATTACAATACGGGAATGTGACTGAATGGTATGACAGCACGAGAAAGTGAATGAATGCTATGACAGCACAGTAATGTGAATGAATGCTATGACAGTACGGGAATATAAATTAATGCTATGACAGCACAGTAATGTGAATGAATGCTATCACAGTACGGGAATGTGAATGAATGCTATGACAGCACAGGAATGTAAATGAATGCTATCACAGTACGGGAATGTGAATGAATGCTATGACAGTACGGGAATATAAATGAATGCTATGACAGCACAGGAATGTAAATGAATGCTATGACAGCACAGTAATGTGAATGAATGCTATGACAGTACGGGAATATAAATGAATGCTATGACAGCACAGGAATGTGAATGAATGCTAGGACAGTACAGGAAAGTGAATGAATGCTATGACAGCACAGGAATGTAAAGAAATGCTATTACACCATGGGAATGTGAAGGAATGCCATTACAGAACAGTAGAGAACCCACTGGCATGTAGTTACAGTAGACCTGCTAAATGGTGTTGCAGAAGAAGTTACTGATATACAGAGGATCTTAGGTGATGCCATTAAAGAAGGATTGTTAGGAAATAGGAAGCTGAATCTATGCTGGTATGGGAAGCAGAGAGCAAACAATTGTTAGAAATTCATGCAAATAGTGTCCGGGGCAGAGAGGATGTAGAAGGTTGGTTTGGGTGAAGAGAGAATGGAACATTGCAGAATGTTGAGGAGGTATGATTGAGGATTGTAGAATGCAGAGAACTAGAAGGGAAGTCAGTACTGAATGTAGATTGTATGCAAAATAGGAAAAAGATTCCATCCAAAAATAGGTGGGAGGATCTATGAAGTCTAGCGGAGTCTACATAGCCCTATGGGGACCACGAGGAATACTCACCAAAGACAAAGACTGGCATGAAATACCCAGCTGGCATGGGCAGGGTGGTGGCCAAGATAAACATCCAGAACTGGTAAAAATGGAAAATGATCAATTTAGCTAGCAGCAGGTTGAAGTATCATCTCTGTTAAGTTCCGTTCAGTCCAAGTTAGTGGGGGTGATAGCAGGGATGAACTTTATTTACCCACAAACAATGTTACTGCATTCCAGCAGAGATCACCTAGTAAGCAGAATATTATCTTGGTGGGTCCACAACATCGGTGCTCTGGGGCTTGTCTGAAGGTTACCTGCTTGGACACAGGTAGTTTGGACATTTTGGCTTTCCCTGTGTTAAAACATTGTGATTCCTATAGAATGATATATGGTTATGTACCTTGCTGTAGATCATTTGTACTTTTGAGCCCAATAAAGCCAAACGATGGAAGAGAAAGCAGCTTATTGAGTTACTGGTAAAGGGTTTATTACCATGTTATAAATGATTAATGGAGACCAGGAGATTGGATTCAGGAGAACACTAACCCTCGAGGGTTCAGTACTTACCTTCATGATAATAAAGAAGAGCAATGTGCCAAAAATGGTAAACTGAGGATTTGCCCATTCCAGCCACAGGTTGTTGGGATCCACTTCTGCTGGTCTCTCCAGTGAGGCATTCTGGGAAAGTGTCCACCATGTCCGATTATCGAAGAGTGAGGTGAGAAGTTCTTTCATGGAAAGCTGACAAGGAGTGAATAACAAGTGAGGAAGGAATTCAGTAAATAAGACATTCCTGGTCTGAAAAACCTCACAGGTCTCTTCTTAATCTGCAGTTCTCATTCCTTGATCTACTGATCCCACTTCTATCAGCTATAGATAATGTGCAGCACTATCAAGCGATATTCTAATTATCCCACCTCCAGATGGCAAGTACCATTTATAAATATAGGGTAACACAGTGACATTTATAGTATCTGTCTCCAAAGATGTGCAGCAAAATACAATACTAAGGCTTAAAAACTAACAATTTTAATAAAACAATTTTTAACCTTTTTTTTAAGATTTTAACCGTTTGATTTAGAGAAAAAGCAGAGCAAGGTTCTTGCGGTCTTACCCGTGAAGCCAGAAATTGCCCCAGACTCTCTGGGAATGTGATAGATGCCATCAGAAGTGCCACCAGAGCTGAATACACAGGTTTACTAAACAGAGAGGTAAATAAACAATATTTACTGCATGCCAACTCATCATGGGCAATTATATCAGTACATATATTGTATATTGGATTTCATGTATATGGCAATATCCTGTAATCTAGAGCCCCGTAATATCAGGCGTCACATCCACAGCCTAAGGTCATGGCCGCCTTTAGTAGATTGTTAATCCTTAGGTGGAACTGATGCCCAGTTGATAATGCTAGGTTACTGGGCCACCACATTCCTCTGCTGGTCGTCGTCCTGGATAAGAGTCCATGGCAGGGAGCTGTGGGCTGACTGTAAAGGGTTCTTTAGAAGTCACAATAATGTTCCATCAAGATTTATACAGAAATCCTGTCTCTGTAATATGGACTTTCGGGCAGTAATAAGTCCCAAGAGACTTTCAGGGCAATGTTTAATACCCGGGTCACAGAATGATGACCGACTGAAGCTCCCTTTATTACAATACTCTGTACTCACTCTGATGACAACAACTTGGCAGTGAAACGGTTAATTCGGACGTATCCCAGCAGCCATCGCTGGCAGAACAGGTATGCGCAGCCCACGACCCCACAGATTGCTCTACAAATAGGAATCAAATATTATTTACACGGGGTTACATTCGATTTTGTGAAAATACAAAAATAGATTGCAAGCTCTTAAAAACAGAATGCACAATCTGCTAGAGCAAAACAAATATGATACATTTTTTACAGGAATTAAACATATACAAGCATATACACAATGTACCCTGGTAAATGCTGACCATCCCCAGATCTCTACTGTATCACCAGATACTTACAGTCCAATCAGATTCCTACATCTATAACCAAACCCCTGCCGACAATGAACGATCCCTCACCGCATCACCAGATACCAAAAACTCTGTCAGTTCCATACCCACAGCATGACCTTCATACCCAGATCCCTACATCGCCCCCAGAACTCTACTCACCCCAAAATCATGAAAAAGAAAGTCTCTGGGAGGTCAAATGGAAAACTAATTTTGAAGTTGGTCTTAAACACTGCACTGATGGTTTCTGGGGGGGAAAAAAATACAAAGGGTTAACTAGAAAGTACACACACCTCTAACAGTCAATGGATCAAAAGGGTTAACATTAGTGTTTGTATTTCAGTTAGTATGCACAAAGGAAAACCATCACTAATGTGGAATGAAATAGAACACACAGTACGTTTAATAGTGATTGGGTTACTCCAAGCACCAAGACCACTTCAGTGATTTTAAGTGGTCATGGTGCCTGGAGGCTGTATGCACAGTGTTTCATTATGAAACGTGGCACATATAGAGATTAACCCCATCTTCTGCTGGAGGTGTGACTCCACCTCTAGCAGTGTCATTGGGATGTCATTAGCCAGCCAGGAACTAGAGCTCTGGGACGGCTAATATCAATTACGTGCAAAATTGGCATCTAACGCCAGCACGCACAGGATGTCCCCCCCCCCCACCAGCGAGGGGGAGTGAGAAAGACTGGGCTGCGGGAGAACTGTGTACTGGAAGTAAGGTGAGCTTTAGCGATATTGTTTTACGTTTTGTATCAGAATGATCCTGAACATGTCCTGTACCTGTAATTAAATGCTGCTCTCACATGACCTTACCTTGCTCGCTGTTAAACACGGCTAGCACACGGAACATAAATGCCCCACAGGCTGCAGAGAAGAATCCCCGCCAGTAATTCCTGATTGCAAAATGGGATGACATTACTTCTACGCTGAATAGTACACCTGCGCGACACAGACAGCGAAACAACAAATAACTTCAGCAGACCAATTATACATTATCTTATCATCCACGTTACCCTCTCTGGCATTGTAACTCAGACTGTCAATCAAGAGCGAGCACAGTTTGTAAACGTAATACTTTTATGGCGAGATCTCTGTGTCACCAAAAACCATCATCAATATGGAAAATATGGAGTGCATCGATTAACGTAAACCTCGGAAATGGCACGGCTTTTTACTAAAGTGAGAATTATCGTTTTCTATTTCAACTACTTTGTCCTAAATGTTTAAAGCCACGTTTAATTGACTTTGAATTCCTGAATAACCCGGTTATTGTCACAGTAAACAGACGTTTGTGTACTTTTTTTTGGTCACTGTGCACTCTAACATTGGGAGATAATTAGTTAACTACAGGATATCCCTGCTTCTGATTGGCTATTCAGGGAATCCGGGCCTTAGAACTGAGAGTTACATTTACTAAAATAAGTAATGTGGGTTTTCCATACGGTACTGATCTGAATGAAGTAATTAGCAGATGGCAGAGATACTTGAAGGATATGACTGATATGATATGTTTTGCCCCAGTTACTCAGACCCTGAGGCAGGAACGCATTATGCGCTGTGTGCCTACCACTGATTGGCGCTCCAAACACTGTAGAGACTCCCACGGCTGCAGCTGCCACAAGCATTTCGTGTTCCTTGCTTTTATTCTACAAGAAGGTAAGAGAAGGAATCAGTCAGCACGTGTGGAAATCTTTAAATCCAGCCATCATATGGCTTATAGGTCTAGCTATTACCAAATGGGATTATGGGAAATGGGTAGCTAAGCTATACAGCATTTTTTTTAAACTAATTAAACTTTTTTTTTTTCTTTTTTTTTAAATAATGTCTCCCTATAAATAAATCAAATTAATTATGCTTGGAAAATAAAGTAATTAAACATGAGCCCAAAATACAAATAACTGCATCAGTGAGCAATAAACACCATCTTGTTTATTGACGTTAACCATCTCTGGTCTGGTTTTCAGACTCCTTCACTCTACTGAAACTCCTTCCCCATCCCATCTATACATCCACACAAGGCATCTTCCATTAATCTGCTACACAGCCCCCTGCGCCCTTCATCTCCCTCGCCCACCTTCCTTTGACACACTGGTCCTGCATGTTTTCTGTTAGATTGAGTTTTGCTCTGATATTGTAAAGTCAATGTGTGCTACACTGCTGAATATGTTGGTGCTATGTAAGTGACACACCTCATAATCACCAGTGACAGAGGACCTCATCCGCCCAAGGTACGCCGCTATCATGCTGGAAAGATGGACAAATGGACCCTGTATGGACAAGACCACAATCATCTCCAGGTAACAGCATTAAAGACACACTTTATAATCTTACTTCATGGCGCAATGTTTCTCTCAAAGTCCTTTTGCATTGGAAGTCGTTAACCCTCCTCATGCCTTGCCCTCATTCCAGGCATGGAATGTCCACTTACCACCTTTCCAAGAAACATCGTGCTTCCAGCTGCCAGGGTACAGGTCAAACCCACCACTTTGGCCCCAAAGTTCTTGATTGTGAGGTATTCTTCCAAAATTACACCAGTGAGAATCGTCTTCATTTCAGGGATACCAGAACCTATCGGTGCAGGAATAATATATACAATTACAGGAGAATAGAACCATCACTAGAACAAGGCAGGGGCTGAGAACCATCACTAGAACAAGGCAGGGGCTGAGTACCTTCACTAGAACAAGGCAGGGGCTGAGTACCTTCACTAGAACAAGGCAGGGGCCGAGAACCATCACTAGAACAAGGCAGGGGCCGAGAACCTTCACTAGAACAAGGCAGGGGCCGAGAACCTTCACTAGAACAAGGCAGGGGCTGAGAACCTTCACAAGAACAAGGCAGGGGCCGAGAACCTTCACTAGAACAAGGCAGGGGCCGAGAACCTTCACTAGAACAAGGCAGGGGCTGAGAACATTCACTAGAACAAGGCTGGGGCTGAGAACCTTCACTAGAACAAGGCAGGGGCTGAGAACCTTCACTAGAACAAGGCAGGGGCTGAGAACCTTCACAAGAACAAGGCAGGGGCTGAGAACCTTCACTAGAACAAGGCAGGGGCTGAGAACCTTCACTAGAACAAGGCAGGGGCTGAGAACCTTCACTAGAACAAGGCAGGGGCTGAGAACCTTCACTAGAACAAGGCAGGGGCTGAGAACCTTCACTAGAACAAGGCAGGGGCTGAGAACCTTCACTAGAACAAGGCAGGGGCTGAGAACCTTCACTAGAACAAGGCAGGGGCTGAGAACCTTCACTAGAACAAGGCAGGGACTGAGAACCTTCACTAGAACAAGGCAGGGACTGAGAACCTTCACAAGAACAAGGCAGGGGCTGAGAACCTTCACAAGAACAAGGCAGGGGCTGAGAACCTTCACTAGAACAAGGCAGGGGCTGAGAACCTTCACAAGAACAAGGCAGGGGCTGAGAACCTTCACTAGAACAAGGCAGGGGCTGAGAACCTTCACTAGAACAAGGCTGGGGCTGAGAACCTTCACTAGAACAAGGCAGGGGCTGAGAACCTTCACTAGAACAAGGCAGGGGCTGAGAACCTTCACTAGAACAAGGCAGGGGCTGAGAACCTTCACAAGAACAAGGCAGGGGCTGAGAACCTTCACTAGAACAAGGCAGGGGCTGAGAACCTTCACTAGAACAAGGCAGGGGCTGAGAACCTTCACTAGAACAAGGCAGGGGCTGAGAACCTTCACTAGAACAAGGCAGGGACTCAGAACGAGCAGTGAGACAATGCATTCCTGGAGCGAGAACTGTTTAATACAAGGGGAATCTCACCTCCAGAATGAGGAGTGATGCTTTGTGCAAAACCAGTAGAAAAAGCCACCAAGGCAATAGGGTATACGGTCCAAGAGAGATATCTCAGCAACATATTGCCTTTCAGCTCCTGCTGCAGCCATCTGTGAGCTTAGGAGGAAATAGAGACTATTAAAAGTTACATATAACAGGGAGTGGCATACTATGAGTAGCCATACAGCAGTGGGTGACATACAGTTAGTAGCCATATAGCAGTAGGTGACATACAGTTAGTAGCCATATAACACGGGGTGACATACAGTTAGTAGCCATATAGCAGTGGGTGGCATACATTGAGTAGCCATATAACAGTGGGTGATATACAGTGAGTAGCTATACAGCAGTGGGTGATATACAGTTAGTAGCCATATAACATGGTGTGACATACAGTGAGCAGCCATATAGCAGTGGGTGACATACAGTTAGTAGCCATATAGCAGTGGGTGACATACATTGAGTAGCCATATAACACTGGGTGATATACAGTGAGTAGCTATACAGCAGTGGGTGATATACAGTTAGTAGCCATATAACAGTGGGTGATATACAGTTAGTAGCCATATAACACGGGGTGACATACAGTGAGTAGCCATATAGCAGTGGGTGACATAAAGCGAGTAGTCATATAACAAGGGGTTACAATAAGTTCGGGCCACCCAAAGGTAATTTGTTTTCAGGGAACCTATCCGCGATGGGGTCCTGTAACAACGCGACCGGGCCCCTGTAATGATGTCAGGACTGGGAGGAAGTGACAGCTGGTCACTTCCTCCCAGCTAAAACTGAGAGCCACGTGGGAGAGGCAGAGAGGAAGGAGTGCGGACTGGAAGAAACTTCCAACAGCCGATTGGACCCCAGAGAAGCATCATTCTGTGTGTCTGTGTATCTGAATGTGTGTCATTCTGTGACTATGTATTTGCATGTGTGTTAGTGTGTGTGCCTATTTGCATGGGCGTCAGTGTATCTGTATGTGTGTGTATTTGCATGTGTGTCAGTGTTTGTATCTGTGAGTCTGTAAATCTGTATGTGTATATCTGTGTGTGTGTTAGTGTGTGTGTCTGTGTATTTACATCGGTGTCAGTGTGTGAATCTGTGCGTCTGTGTATCTTTTAGCAAACTTAAACAACAGTACATAAAAATACACAGCACTACACACAAAATCACTCCTACATTCCTCCTCCTACATCCCACACATACATACTCCATTCAAACAACTGCTCAATGCTAAGTGCAACCATGCAAGGATGACCGAATGGTAGACCCCCAGCTGGCAAAGGATTGTGGAAGTTGTACGACAGATTTGAATTTACTTTTTGGTCATCCTTGCAAGAGGAGGGGGGCCTAAAACATTCTTGCTCCAGGGTCCTGTGTTCGCTAGTTCCGCCACTGGACAGGGTGACTTTCTTCCTGTCAGGAAGGTTTTCCCACGAGGTAACGGCCCCAATCTCCCACTGATTGTATCTATTGTTTCAGAAATCTCTGGTAAATACAGACAGGTTCTGTGTGGCTGCAAATCCTTGGCGCCAATGGTTTATTTATGACGCTCATCAGTGCCAAAACCCAGTCGCCTGTCACCAAACTGTCCTGAGTTCTAAATGATTACTCTGTATAGAATATTGAGATTTCATGGTCTGTGCCAAGCTGGGGCAATCTATAATTAGCAGGTAATAACTGCAGGTGTAATCTAACTCACAGAGGGGTGTAGGTAAAGGCTGGGCTGTATGAAATAACACATAATTCATGCATTACTTAAACCCAGGTCACCTACGCCGTGCCAGATATTTATACAATTTTAGAAATTTAACCCCGAGCATGGTCTGCTTCTTCCACAGAATAATTATGGTTTCTAAATATTTATCTGTTTTTTACAAAAGTGTCGTCCCCACTGACCCTTTGTGTGATACTGGATTAAAGGACCACTATAGGCACCCAGACCACTTCAGCTCAATGAAGTGGTCTGGGTGCCAGGTCCATCTAGGGTTAGCCCTGCCTGCTGTAAACATAGCAGTTTCAGAGAAACTGCTATGTTTACATTAGGGTTAATCCAGCCTCTAGTGGCTGTCTCATTGGCCACTAGAGGCGCTTCCACGCTTCTCACTGTGATTTTCATAGTGAGAGGACGCCAGCGTCCATAGGAAAGCATTGAGAATGCTTTCCTATGGACTGACTGAATGCGCGCGCGGCTCTAGCCGCGCATTCGACGGAAGAGGGAGGAGAGTCCCCAGCGTCGAGGGAGCCCGGCGCTGGAGAAAGGTAAGCCTTTAACCCCTACCTCCCACTAGAACCTTAAGGGTGGGGGGGACCTATTAACACTATAGTGCCAGGAAAACTACTTTGTTTTCCTGGCACTATAGTGGTCCTTTAAGTATGTTTGATTTCTCAAACATTGATGCGATCTGAGATAACATAACACACCATTATCCTGTCACAATTATAGAAATAATACAAAATGTTCTAAATTCATAATAACAAATATTTATCTATATAAATCATTGATCATTTGGCTCCCTTATTCAGAGAGCTTTACATAGATTAGTAAAAATGCAGTCTTAAGTAAAGTAATAATGTGATGGGATTTCAACATGGTTCAAAATTTAGTAGGCCTGAAATCTCCATGTGGCATATACAAGGTCAGGTGTTTGTAACAATAATGCAGTTTAAAAAAAAAAAAATTAGAATATCTAATTTTAGGTTAAAGTAGCAGAATTGAAAACCTTGATTAAAGGAACACTATAGGGTCAGGAACACGAACATGTATTCCAGACCCATAGTGTTAAAAACACCATCTGTCTCCCCTTGCCTCCCTAAGTATAGTAAAATCTCCCAAAAGAAAGCATTGGATTGGCTGAGATTTTGAATGATGATGATGATGATGATGATCTCAGTCAAGGAGGCGGTCTGGAGGAGGAGCCAAACACAGCCCTGGCCAATCAGCATCTCCTCATAGAGATACATTGAATATCTATGAGGAACATTCAGTGTCTGCATGCAGAGGGTGGAGACACTAAATGTCAGTCACATTGTGCAGCACTGCCCCAGGAAGCACCTCTAGCAGCCATCTGAGGAGTGGCCAGTGGAGGTGTACCTAGGCTGTAATATAAACACTGCATTTTCTCTGAAACAAACAGTGTTTACTGGAAACAGCCTGAAGGGAATGATTATACTCACCAGAACAAATGCTATAAGCTGTATACTATAGTTGTATTTGTTCTGGTAACTATAGTGTCCCTTTATTATTTAGCCATAGTCATTTAGTCATATTTGTAATTCCCTTCGAATTCCATGGCATTCCACACATTAGTGGATAACCTCCGACTCAAGCAACGTTTCACCTTGATTATTTTTGTCTGCTCTGTACTACGGCTCATTGTTACTCCAACTTTTTCCTGTTTGCAAATCCCATCATTTTCAACCAACCATTGCCTGCATGCTGAGGGAGGATGCTAAGAGTTGCCCTGTTCATTGTCAATTAATTAACAGATGGAAATTACGTTTGAACACAAAGCTCTTGTTACAATAATTAAATCTAATCGGAATAAAATAAATTCTAATTTCTAATTTTCAACCAATTAGAGCAATGCCCCTCCCCCCACCCCCCGCTGCCAGCATTCACTGTAAGAAAGTCATCAACAGTAACATGTCATGGCGAGCACAAGATGGCCGCTGAAATGCAGCCTCGACAAACCACAGAGAGAGCGGACATTCAGTCCTGGCGGGAAGACTTTGAAGCCCGGTTTGAACGCATATGCCGAGCATTCTGGCACCGCATCGAAAGCCGACACTCACACGGGCAGCTGACCCAGAGAAAAGATGCAGTGGACCGCGAACCTGCAACCGGCACTGGGCATGGAGCTCGTAGGGTGGCACAGCCAACAAGCCGTCCAAGCACTCGGGGAATCCCCCGACGCGTCAAGCGTCCGCAGACCCGTGATCCAGCCAAAGCAAAATGGAAAGCTACCAGCCAAGCGACCATGAACCCACGGGAGGCCTGGGCCTGGGAGAACGGGAACCCCCGGCGCAGCTCACCCACCACAAGCCACATGCAAGGAGCCTGGTTCAACACACAGCCCTTCCTGGGGACGAATAGCACTACCTCACCGACCATGCAGCCTACCAAGCTCCGATGGCCCATACGAGGTATCGGATAAACGGACAGCACGGAATACACACCAGCTTTCTTACAGAGACACTAAATTCACTGCTCCTTTAGAGCTGTCATGGTGCAATTAGTACCCAGTGGTCATATAGCAGACTCAACGTTAACTAAAGCCTAATACCTTTACTAACCAATGTAAGATTATTCATAGCATCATCATGAGCCAAGTTATTAGTTTATCTTTCCTGTTCATCCTAATGCTTATATGATGTAAACCAGCCACAGTATCGATAACACTCTTGCTTGCTAGAAAAGTTTTATTTACAGGATCTAGCATGTTTATGGTCAGCAAGTAATGTCATAATCGTTGACTTTTGAAGCGTGTACCTTATCCAGACATTCAGGGACCTAACTTGAGAAATGTTATTTGAATGTTCAGTCAGACAAGCTAAACCATACTACCCTTATGTTTCTCTGCCAGTATTCCTCATGTTATATAAAAAAAAATGTGCTGTCTACACTGCAAAACGGTATAAAAAGCATGCGGAAGCTGTCGTAGCTCTGCATGCCTGTTGTAAATCTGTGCACATGAAAAATAAAGAATTTAAAAAAAAAAAAAAAAACAGTAACATGTCATGTCTTGCTGCCACTGGATAACACCAATTACACTTATCTAACCAGGCTCCCAAATATAAATAGAATGATGACATCACAATGTTAATATGTGTCTCACCCTGGACACAACGCAAAGACAGGGCAACGAGCCACCCATAGGTGGCGCTATGGGTAAGCTGATTAAACAACTCGATCTCCGTATAAGAAATGTATAGAAAATAATGGAAAAAAACTTGTGCTATCACAATACAGATTTATCACACTCGGGGTTATATACTTAGGGGTTTATTCACTAAACAGTGAACTGCAGTGATGTGAAATCAGAATGGAAAAATTCACTCTGAATTAGACAAGCTATTCACAAGGAATAGTTTCCAATAATTATATATAAAATAAACTTAACGTAAAATAAACATAATGCAAAATAAATGTAAATGACATCATATCCCTCCTCGCACTCTGGATCAGAGAGAGCAGTCTGTCCCGTAGAACATGCAGAAAGCTCTCTCTTCTCGCATGGAAGGCCAAGTATGTGAGGTATGAGTGAAGTTAGTTATGGGGTGCCAAGCTGGTAACCTGCCTGGGGCACTGTGGGAACGTAATCCAGCACTCACAACACACGGAGTGACAGTATAGCTCCGCCTCTGCGGTTCGAGACGTGGGGAGGCTTAATGTAGATGGGCTCACACTGCGTGGGTGTAAGTAATGAGTGACATATCGCAGGGATTGCTGGGAGATCAGCTAACTATTGTATGTCTCCACAGCGTATGTTGGAGATATATAAATATAATAATAATGATACTCACCGTTCAGCATCCGGGAGACGGTGAAATCCATGGTAAAACTGATCATTGCCATGATAACGCCAAGAGCAAAGAGGAAATACCAATCATCACCAACGCGGAAAAGGACTCGTTTAATGCCTTCTAGACACACTGAGGGAAAATTGATTAATTTGGGGATTAGTTCTCAAAGCACTCGTAGGAATGAAGAACAACATGGCTACAAGGTGATGGCCAATCAGCAATGATAACATGACGGACAGCAGCCAATCAGACAAGGAACTGTCGCTCTGTCCAACCCTCTAGGTTCCAGACAAGTGAGGAATGATAGGGAGCTGATACAGTACTCACTGAGTGCACACTTACCATGCTTAGTGCCACTGACACACACCATTAAAATATACATTCATCTCATAAAGTGAACCATTACAAAACCTACCACCCCGAACTCACACTCTGCTGCAATTTTAACTTATACTCAATGAGTCTACTCTAATTAAATCTCCTGGCACAAACACCACTCAATCACGCACGGACGCACCCACCCTCACTTAGCCTTCACTTACTAAATGAACCACTCCTGCTGATATATCACACCTGGCCAGTGTCACACGTCGCCTAACATCTATCAGCTACGTAAATACCTCACTAGCCAAAGTAGGTACACAAGAATTTAGCAGGGGAAAAGTGATGTATATGGCCTATCTTAACAACTCATAGTATAGCTTTACAAACTTATAGTCATGCCTAATCTGTATCTCACGCACTAGACACGCAGACTTAACTATTAAGCGTACCACTCATCTGACTCCATGCATTTGAGAACAAAACACTGCGCTGCTATATTATTGCCATGCCTTGTCGTAATATGTGGATATATTATGTGTGCTCCTGCTGTTGTGGTGACACACGCTTGCTTGTTATAGTATGCGCAACAAAAATAATTATTTTTAAAATTACACACGTCACCACACTTACACACACTACACCCACTTCCTCATACTACATAAAATAACATACACATATTATTTCTATACATTCAGCCTTACTAACTGCTTCATGACATACCAACCGCCACTGACACTACGCACATTGACACACTCAATACATTACCTGTCATACACCATAGCCACTAACATACATACAATACTCAGCATACCCACTGAAACACACACCAAGTTCACTAGCATGCACACACTATACCAGTTAACATACACATATAACATTCCTACACTGGAGGAACGCAGTGCAAAATTCTTAAGTAGGGACTGTCCTTCTATAAGTGGGACTCTTGAGAAATATGGAGGATTAAAAATACCATCAGATCTGTCAAAATATCACAAAGTGGTAAGTTTGTTCAAAAGCCATAAAAAAAATTTTTTTTAAATCCTGCGGTATTAGGAAAATAAATTGAATTGTACCTACAACCCTACAAATAACTGCACAATATTCATCCCCGTATCATTAATTGCACCTTTAACAAAGCGCCGTGTTTTGGGCCAAGGACGAAACACATCTTTTCGAAGCAGCGTTTTCTCATTTTCCGTCTGTTCAATCACAAACGTCTCCATGGTGATTCTGTTCACAGAGGAGAACAAGTCGTTTTCATCTGATGCCACACAATTTCTCAAAATTAATCATACTTTGCAAACTTCTAATGTTCAATAAGTTAAAATGGGACAAGTTTTCTAAATATTATTTGCATCTACCTACACCAAGTTCATGGCTTTGAACCGACCTAGGGCAAACAATGTACCCGTTCTAGTAATATGTACATTTATACAAACATTAATTAGATTTTATAAATATTGTGCACTGACTGAGTGCCGGTAATATTATTATAGCAATTTGCAATTCCCTGTATAGTACAAAGCTTACATTTTGCATGACCCACCCGCCTTCTCCCCAGATATCAGCAATCTATATGTACAAGCTATAGGGATCATTCTCATTTCTGTATTATTGTCACACATGTGTTATGTGACCAACATGGCATTTCTGCTGTAAGACGAAGACAAGTAAAGATTGTCTCTGAAACATTTCCACCTCTCCCCTTTTCCTATTTTCTGTACAGTATGAGCAAATTGATGAACACATTTTTTTTTATTTTTTTTATTTTTTTTTACAAAACTATACTTTTTAGGCATCCCTGAATCAATTCACACATTTGCTGACTTTGCCAGGTATCTCCTGCACTTTACTTTGTTTCAGACAGGATTCCCGGGGAGGGTAATATAACCAAATGGATTTAGCGTCTAAACACAATGTGATACAGGGAACTAACATGGGTGCAGGGGGCGTAGGTACTGACACTGACAGGGTTATTTAACATGTGTAAACAGACAGGAAAACGCAGGGTAAAAACTGGGGCTTTTACAACTTGCAATATTGTAACTTGGAGAAAGGCCATATTTAAAGGGACATGCAGCCTGCTCTTATGAACAAATGACATCTCAGTGTCGTTGGAACATTGGCCACACTTCAAACTCAACATTTTAAATATAAAGATTATGGTGCCATACTAGAGCTTCCTAGAAAATACTCAAACAGTTCAGATGCTGTTATATAGGTTATACTACATACTATTAAGGTCTTCGGATCTCTTGCAGTGGATGTGACTTTTTTCATGAGAAAAATAATTTAAAAATAAAAATAAAAACATAAAAAGTAGGAGCCATAATTAACATGTTAAGAGTCGTGCGTGCTGGGATTTGTTAAACAGTGTGTTTTATCTATGGCCTTTTAAAAGTATGGGCCTAATTTATCCTGATATTTCAGGACGGCACGTCAGCAAAGCCCAACTGATTAGTCAGATCTCCTAAACAAACTGTGTGCACAGTCCCAGGGAGGTCATCTTACCCACAACTAATCTCAATTGTTCTATAAATGTCCACAGCAGACGAATACATCCAGGGCGAAGCCAAAACGTTCACAGGACCCCGTCCCAATCTCTTCTGTAAAGTGGTAGCCGGGCCTAAAACATTGGTTCTATTTCAGATTTTTTTTTACAATGGTGGACGTAGGTCACCCCTCCACTAAAGCCTTCTTGCTCATGTTCTCTATGTAATTTGGACGCCCACATTTTAGTGTATTTAGACCAAAATTGCTAAATGGAAAAATTTCCCCAGTCAGCTAGGTTTTCAGTTCTGTATGTTGGCATAAAACTTTGAAATCCCCCCAAAAATCACATTTCAATGAACAACCCTGGTATTGTGATTGCAAACCATTATGGGAGATGTGGTCCTATAATAGCTGGGGGTCTACAATTTGTCTCCCTTTGCAATAATACTAATTAAAAGCGTGTGTGTTAAGAATAGGCAAGAATGGGCATAAAATGTATGAAGATAATAAGAAATCTAGAGATGTTTTTCATGAGGAAGATGTATTTTTTTCCTTCAAATTAAGATGCTCAATTGTTTGAATGATATCATTTATCCAATAAGATGACATTTAAGTACATTACCAGCTGGACTGAGTGTCTCTTCCAGGCACAACAACATTAAAAATCCATAATTAGTTTTGTGTGAGTTTCCAGAAGAATAGTCCATCTTAGTGGCTGGAGTCATGGACGTACAGGGGATAATCAATTGACTTCAAATTAACACAATCCTTAAGCCGGAGTTTCCTAACCCCTTGATTGGGACCTGTGCCATTTTAGGTGGTCCAAAGTGCTTCCAATGAACCCGATATATCTGTCCATCCACAGGTAATAATACACAAACATTGGTTTCTGTAGACAGGTCTGTACATCTCAGGTGTCTGTAGGTACAGAATTTCCATACCTCCCCCCAAAATCCAGCTCCCTGTTATTTACTTCACTATTGGGGGGGGCGGGTGCACGTCTCTCACTCTCCAACTCCATAAATAAAATTCAATATTAAAAACATAAATAAAAATATATACTGGCACCTGTAGGCAGCTGCCCACTCTGTCTATAGGGGAATCCAGCTGTGCCTTCCCCAGGCAAAGGCGACTCGCCGACACTGGTAACAGTTTCCAAGCTAATACCATATACATTAATTGAACTGCTCTAAAAATAGGTTAAGAATTATTACCTTAAACAAATATCGAAACAACTGATGAATCTCTAAAAGGCATAATTTCTCATCTAATCTTAGCGAACCATCATTCTGTAATTTGTTGTTGTCCTCCTACCATTGGCACCTGTCAAACCCACCTGTATGGTCTCTGATTTTTGGGAATGGGGTCGTGGTCCACTTTGGGAAGCTCTTTATTCCGAGTTATCTTTGGGATTTCACGACCAGCCAGCAGCCTGTGAGTGAGTCTCCTCCATTCACTGGCTGTGAATGCAAACTGTGAGTGAGCCACAGGTTACCCATGCTCCCTCCCCTGCACACAGACACACAGGGTTATTAGTACTATTAAAATGTCCTTGACAAGTCAGGTAGAACCACCCTCAGGCTTCTTGTGTTTAGAATAAAAATGAGCTGCAGGTGAAAGTGAATTCCTGTTCAGTCACCTTTATTGAGAGACAATCTCCTCTCAGCTCTGCTCTATCTCAGCCCCATCACCATCATCACATGCCAATCCCCTCTCACATAGCTACCAAGTGTCCCTATCTACACGAGAAAGTCCCTCTACCGAATCCAAATCCCTCTCACTTCTTTTCTTGGAGCTCTTCATTACTCGTGTGTCTGCAATAAAACGTACACAGAGCTATTCACTAGAGAGTGACTTGTTAAGTATCACATAGAAGGCCAAACTATCTAAACTGAAAATATTCTCCAAATCAGCAAAGTTTTCAATTAGTCTATTTTGGCTGAAATTGTTAAATAAATTTTATTTCCTGACAATTCAAACTTTTACAAATAACCCTGTATAGTGTCTTTCAACTGCAATATATACATTTAGTCAGCCTGTGTAAATAAGACGCTTTGATCTTGTTCTAAATAGCATTTTCAGTTCCAGTAATGATTATCAGTGGGCCACCCCTCCATCCAGTCCCCTAAAATGTAGAAATCCCTTAAAGAGCCATTTGAAAGGTTGGGAGGAACGCTCTTAGTTGATGGCGAACATTTCCTTGAACCTCTGCCAGTCACAGGTGAGACGAGAAAGTCATTCCAGGTAATGAGTTAATCCCGATATTTACACAGGAGGGTTAAATATAATTGGGATGGGATTAAAGAGTCTGGTTTCTAGAGAGCTCCATGAAAAGTCAATCATTCTTTAAAGTTTCCTTTTGGTTTTTTTAAAACTTCCAACTTATTTTTAGCATTTATATAGTGCCAACAGCAATATGACATTGTGTACCAGGGAAACTTGAAGTTGAGCAAAGCCCTGCTCAAACAAGCTTACAATCTATGAGAGGTGGGCCGTTAGGTGTCTTACCCAAGGACACGTACTGGTAAGGTGGCCTGACTGGGATTGAAACCGGGGTTTCCCAGGACTAAGGCAGTGACATTACCACCATGCAAACCAGGCAATAGGGCACTCCCCCTCTAAGGTGATGAGACACTGCTAAAGACCCCCTGCGAGGACAACAGTCAACTGTTGGCACCTTCACAAGCTGACCTACAGCTTGGTTTCCTCCACCTCAGGGGACAACAGAAATGATACCAGGGCAGGAGACGTGATCTCTGCTAGGTGCTCTTGGGAAGGTAGTGCCAACTCAAGATGAAAATGCCCTCCTGACTCTTAAACAAGTCCTGGGTGCACTTTCCTGAAAAGCACTGTACGAGCTGGAACCAGTTACACAAAACCAAAAATCCAGTCTTAGAATCCACAACCAAGACTATCCAAGCGCTCCACACTACAAATTATCTTATAGACTTATGGTCGTAATGTATAAATAGTGGATACCTGGAAGAAACAGAGTCTGTGGAGGGAATAACAAAAAAGGGCTATGGGTCATTTCAGGGACTGGAAAGTAACCGTCCAGGGATGGAAGTGTCAGTGGATGGAAGTGTCAGTGGATGGAAGTGTCAGTGGATGGAAGTGTCTGGGGATGGAAGTGTCTGGGGATGGAGGTGTCAGTGGATGGAAGTGTCTGGGCATGGAAGTGTCGGTGGATGGTAGTGTTGGGGCATGGAAGTGTCAGGGGATGGAAATGTCAGGCAATGGTAGGGGTAGGTATTATTACACTGTATGATTATAATGATATCAGAAGGGGTAGGTATTATTACACACTGTGTGATTATAATGATATCAGCAGGGTAGGCAGTATTACTCATTGTATGATTATGATGATATCAGCAGCTGGTGTAATATGCACACAGTGAACACAGTGAATTTCTGTGTTTATATCCATGTGCATCTGGGGTGTTGTGTCAATAAGATTCTTTGTTGTGAAAACATTTAATAAAAGTGATTACAAACCAGCTATAACAAGCAGGTGACATCTCTTCCCTTCCTTTAGGATAAAAACAAATCTAAACATTTTGTTAAACTGTTTTTTAGATTTGATGCTGGAAATGTTTGCGTTAATAAGCACTTTTTATTACAATTCCACTTAGGACTAGAATGGGAGGGGAAGGGGGGGAGGTATAATATCTGTTCATTCTCTTAGTGTGGGTATGGAAGGGTTAATATCTGTTTTATTCTCTTAGTGTGGCTATGGAAGGGTTAATATCTGTTTTATTCTCTTAGTGTAGGTATGGAAGGGTTAATATCTGTTTTATTATCTTAGTGTGGGTATGGAAGGGTTAATATCTGTTTTATTATCTTAGTGTGGCTATGGAAGGGTTAATATCTGTTTTATTCTCTTAGTGTGGGTATGGAAGGTTAATATCTGTTTATTCTCTTAGTGTGGGTATGGAAGGGTTAGTATCTGTTCATTCTCTTAGTGTGGCTATGGAAGGGTTAATATCTGTTTTATTCTCTTAGTGTGGGTATGGAAGGTTAATATCTGTTTTATTCTCTTAGTGTGGGTATGGAAGGGTTAGTATCTGTTCATTCTCTTAGTGTGGCTATGGAAGGGTTAATATCTGTTTTATTATCTTAGTGTGGGTATGGAAGGGTTAATATCTGTTTTATTATCTTAGTGTGGCTATGGAAGGGTTAATATCTGTTTTATTCTCTTAGTGTGGGTATGGAAGGTTAATATCTGTTTATTCTCTTAGTGTGGGTATGGAAGGGTTAATATCTGTTTTATTCTCTTAGTGTGGGAATGGAAGGGTTAATATCTGTTTTATTCTCTTAGTGTGGGTATGGAAGGGTTAATATCTGTTTTATTCTCTTAGTGTGGGTATGGAAGGTTAATATCTGTTTATTCTCTTAGTGTGGGTATGGAAGGGTTAATATCTGTTTTATTCTCTTAGTGTGGCTATGGAAGGGTTAATATCTGTTCATTCTCTTAGTGTGGGTATGGAATGGTTAATATCTGTTTTATTATCTTAGTGTGGGTATGGAATGGTTAATATCTGTTTTATTCTCTTAGTGTGGGTATGGAAGGGTTAATATCTGTTTTATTCTCTTAGTGTGGGTATGGAAGGGTTAATATCTGTTTTATTCTCTTAGTGTGGGTATGGAAGGGTTAATATCTGTTTTATTCTCTTAGTGTGGGTATGGAAGGGTTAATATCTGTTTTATTCTCTTAGTGTGGGAATGGAAGGGTTAATATCTGTTTTATTCTCTTAGTGTGGGTATGGAAGGGTTAATATCTGTTTTATTCTCTTAGTGTAGGTATGGAAGGGTTATTATCTGTTTTATTATCTTAGTGTGGGTATGGAAGGGTTAATATCTGTTTTATTATCTTAGTGTGGGTATGGAAGGAGGGATGGAAGTGTCAGTGGATGGAAGTGTCTGGGGATGGACGTGTCAGTGGATGGAAGTGTCTGGGCATGGAAGTGTCAGGGGATGGAAGTGTCGGTGGATGGTAGTGTTGGGGCATGGAAGTGTCAGGGGATGGAAATGTCAGGCAATGGTAGGGGTAGGTATTATTACACTGTATGATTATAATGATATCAGAAGGGGTAGGTATTATCTGTTTTATTCTCTTAGTGTGGGTATGGAAGGGTTAAAATATGTTTTTTTATCTTAGTGTAGGTATGGAAGGGTTAATATCTGTTTGTTTTCTTAGTGTGGGTATGGAATGGTTAATTTGTTATTTTCTCTTAGTGTGGGTATGGAAGGGTTAATATCTGTTCGTTTTCTTAGTGTGGGTATGGAATGGTTAATTTGTTATTTTCTCTTAGTGTGGGTATGGAAGGGTTAATATATGTTTTTTCCCCTCTTAGTGTGGGTATGGAAGGGTTAATATATGTTCATTCTCTTATTGTGAGTATAGAATGGTTAAGATCTGGGGTTTTTATCTTAGTTTGGGTATGGAAGGGTTAATATGTTATTTCCTCTCAGTGTGGGAATGGAGGAGTTAACGTTGGTTCTTCCTCTCAGTGTGGGAATGAAAGGGTTAATGTCTGTTTTCCACTCAGTGTGGGAATGAAAGGGTTAATGTCTGGCTCTAGTGATCAGACATTGGATTTTGGCTGTATTCTCCTTCATGTTATGGAATCATTCTGGTGAGGCTGGCACAGAGGGCACAGAGGGCACACAGCTGATGTCATGCCACTCTCTTAGCAGTGACTCAGCCTGTGACTGGCATTACCCAGCATATGAGTTGTCGCGTTCTCTCAGTTCCACTCCTCTGATGTGGCACACTATTTCTGTATGGTCTAGCGTGTAATGCCATCTGTGTGACACACGGTGAGGACAGGTTTACAAAACAATATCCCAGTTATAGTGAGAAACCGTCACAGTCCAGGATTTTAATATTCTGTTTACTTATCCCTGTTTGTGAGGTCTGGAAAATAAAATAAGATTTTGATTTTCTTGTAGTAAATCCCACCAGTTTCTTAGAAATATCTATTTGCTGTTACGAATAACGTGGCGCTCAGGTAATGGGACAGTCTGAAGTGTTTAGGAGGTTTTTCTTCTTTCTCCTAATCCAGTATGTAGGTATGTGGTAAGACAGCAGGTGATCTGGACAGCCTGTAAGTGTATTGTGTGGCCTGTTGGTGTATCGCGTGGCCTGTAGGTGTATTGTGTGGTCTGTTGGTGTAATGTGTGGCCTGTAGGTGTATTACGTGCACTGTTGGTGTATTGTGTGGCCTGTAGGTGTATTACGTGCACTGTTGGTGTATTGTGTGGTCTGTAGGTGTAATGTGTGGCCTATATGTGTATTGCATGCACTGTAGGTGTATTACATGCACTGTTGGTGTATTGCGTGGTCTGTTGGTGTAATGTGTGGCCTATATGTGTATTGCATGCACTGTAGGTGTATTACATGCACTGTTGGTGTATTGTGTGGTCTGTTGGTGTATCGCGTGGCCTGTAGGGGTATTAGATGCACTGTTGGTGTATTGCGTGGTCTGTTGGTGTATTGCGTGGTCTGTTGGTGTATTACATGCACTGTTGGTGTATTGCGTGGTCTGTTGGTGTATCGCGTGGCCTGTAGGTGTATCGCGTGGCCTGTAGGGGTATTAGGTGCACTGTTGGTGTATTGCGTGGTCTGTTGGTGTATTACATGCACTGTTGGTGTATTGCGTGGTCTGTTGGTGTACCGCGTGGCCTGTAGGCGCATTAGGTGCACTGTTGGTGTATTGTGTGGCCTGTAGGTGTATTACATGCACTGTTGGTGTATTGTGTGATCTGTTGGTGTAATGTGTGGCCTGTATGTGTATTGCATGCACTGTAGGTGTATTACATGCACTGTTGGTGTATTGTGTGGTCTGTTGGTGTATCGCGTGGCCTGTAGGTGTATTAGGTGCACTGTTGGTGTATTGCGTGGTCTGTTGGTGTATTGCGTGGTCTGTTGGTGTATTACATGCACTGTTGGTGTATTGCGTGGTCTGTTGGTGTATCGCGTGGCCTGTAGGTGTATTAGGTGCACTGTTGGTGTATTGTGTGGCCTGTAGGTGTATTACATGCACTGTTGGTGTATTGTGTGGCCTGTAGGTGTATTACGTGCACTGTTGGTGTATTGTGTGGTCTGTAGGTGTATTGCATGCACTGTTGGTGTATTGGGTGGTCTGTTGGTGTACCGTGTGGCCTGTAGGCGCATTAGGTGCACTGTTGGTGTATTGTGTGGTCTGTTGGTGTATTGCGTGGCCTGTAGGTGTATTACGTGCACTGTTGGTGTATTGTGTGGCCTGTAGGTGTATTACATGCACTGTTGGTGTATTGTGTGGTCTGTTGGTGTAATGTGTGGCCTGTATGTGTATTGCATGCACTGTAGGTGTATTACATGCACTGTTGGTGTATTGTGTGGTCTGTTGGTGTATCGCGTGGCCTGTAGGGGTATTAGGTGCACTGTTGGTGTATTGCGTGGTCTGTTAGTGTATTGCGTGGTCTGTTGGTGTATTGCATGCACTGTAGGTGTATTGCGTGGTCTGTAGGTGTAATGTGTGGCCTGTAGGTGTATTGCATGCACTGTAGGTGTATTGCATGCACTGTTGGTGTATTGCGTGGTCTGTTGGTATATTGCGTGGCCTGTAGGTGTATTACATGCATTGTTGCTGTATTGCGTGGTCTGTTAGTGTATTGTGTGGCCTGTAGGTGTATTGCGTGGACTGTAGGTGCATTGCTTGGCCTGTAGGTATATTGCATGGCCTGTGGGTGCATTGCTTGGCCTGTAGGGGTATTACGTGCACTGTTGGTGTATTACGTGGTTTCTTGGTGTATTGCGTGACCTGCAGGTGCATTGCGTGGCCTGTAGGTGTATTACGTGCACTGATGGTGTATTGCGTGGCCTGCAGGTGTATTGTGTGGACTGTAGGTGCATTGCTTGACCTGTAGGTATATTGCATGGCCTGTAGGTGTATTGTGTGGTCTGAAGATCCCTGGTGTGGACTGTATGGGCATTGAATTATCTATTGGTGTATTGCATTGACTGTCGGTGTATTGTATATTCAGCAAATGCACCGGACGGTTTGCAGGTTTATTAGATAATCTGTTGGTGTATTGAATAGTCTGCAGATATACTGAACAGCTTGTCTATACATTGAATAGTCTGCAGGTATACTGAACAGCTTGTCTATACATTGAATAGTCTGCAGATATACTGAACAGCTTGTCTACACATTGAATAGTCTGCAGATGTATTGAACTCTCTGTGGGATCATTGGATGTTGTGTTGGTCTATTTGGTGGTCTGCAAGTGTATTGGATGTACTGTACTGTAGGTTCACTGGATGGTCAATAGTTGTATTTGGTGGGCTGTTAAGTGTATTTGGTTGTGTTTGGGTGTATTGGATGGTCTGTGGTTGTATTTGGTGATCTGTAGCTGTATTTGGTGGTCTCTATGTGTATTGGATTTCTGTGGTTGTATTTGGTGGTCTCTGGGTGTATTGGGTGGTCTGTGGTTGTATTTGGTGGTCTCTGGGTGTATTGGGTGGTCTGTGGTTGTATTTGATGGTCTCTATGTGTATTGGATGGTCTGTGGTTGTATTTGGTGGTCTCTGGGTGTATTGGATGGTCTGTAGTTGTATTTGGTGGTCTCCAGGTGTTTTTGGTGGTCTCTGGGTGTATTGAATGGTCTGAGGTTGTATTTGGTGGTTTCTATGTGTATTGGGTGGTCTATAGTTATATTTAGTGGTCTCTATGTGTATTGGGTGGTCTGTGGTTGTATTTGGTGGTCTCCAGATGTTTTTGGTGATCTGTAGTTGTGTTTGGTGGTCTCTATGTATATTGGGTGGTCTGTGGTTGTATATGGTGGTCTCTGGGTGTATTGGATGGTCTGTAGTTGTATTTGGTTGTCTCTATGTGTATTGGGTGGTCTGTGGTTGTATTTGGTGGTCTCTATGTGTATTGGGTAGTCTGTGGTTGTATTTGGTGGTCTCTGGGTATATTGTATTGTCCGTAGTTGTATTTGGTGGTCTCTGGGTATATTGTATTGTCCGTAGTTGTATTTGGTGGTCTCTGGGTATATTGTATTGTCCGTAGTTGTATTTGGTGGTCTCTATGTGTATTGGGTGGTCTGTAGTTGTATTTGGTTGTCTCTATGTGTATTGGATGGTATGTGGTTGTATTTGGTGGTCTGTGATTGTATTTGGTGGTCTGTGGTTGTATTTGATGGTCTCTGTGTATTGGGTGGTCTGTAGTTGCATGTGGTGGTGTCTGGGTGTTTTGATTGGTCTGCCGGTGTTTGAGACTGTTTGGGAACGCACTAGAGTCCCAAACAGTCTCAAACACCGGCTGGTATCTTTATCCTGTAGTCATTATGTGAGCTCCCTGCTCTTCCTATCTCTGTCACTTTATATTTTGCTCATGTGTCCTTCCTATGGCTCACTGATTATTTCAGCCTCCAGGCTGTCTAACAGTCCTCACACTGACTCTCTCACTGTCTTGGGTGCTTTCCCTCTGTGTCCCTCTCCCCCCTCCATGTCTGGCAGACTGTCTCAGGAATCTGTCACTGCTCAGACCCCTCAGCTTCTAACAGACTGTTCTGCAGCTGTGTGCTGGGGACCGCCTGCCCACCCTGGGATGATCTGAGGCTCATATGAAAAGAACTATCAGAGAAAAGGCTTCCTTAATAGGAAACAATGCAGCAGACTGGGCAGGAGGGGCGAACACAATCTGCCCAGGAGATAACCGCTCTGTCCGCCACTTAACCCCATAGCTTCCAAACACTGGCCAAAGCCTCACGATACCTTGCAACGGCTGTGCTGTAAGGGTTAAATGGTGCGTGAAGGTATTCTTCCACCATCACTTTCAGTTTATTACATTATTCGCGTGGTATGATTTATTGGTAACTTAAATGGGAACTGCCACATCCTGGGATTTTTGGTGTATTATGTCTTTATCATCTATTTTTGATTAGAAATGTGCTTGTGAATGTTGAAATCCACACTGCAGTATCAAGCTCTATGTTGGAACTGGGTGCCTCCATGTTAGCTCCCTGTCAATCATTGTCATTAGCTCTGCTCTTTGCACATGGCAGAGAGATGGGAAGATACATTAAACAACGTTTCTGTGTCTCCTCTTCCAATACAATGTGTCTTGAAAAGTGGGACAAAGTTCCAAAAATGAAACAATTGTCATAGTAATCAATCAAATGGTTCTGCAGATTCTATGGGCTACCATGCTGATTGTTTCACTTTTTGAAATGTGGCCATTTTTCTTTTAGTGACCCTTACCCAGGGTGCCACAGTAAGGCCAAAGCTATTCCAGAAAGCACGGTATTCTATTGTACTGCGAAACGGATCATGTTGGAACCCCATACTGTTAGTAGCCCCCTAATACCGCCAGCAGGCATGTTTACATAATAATGTGTTGATCAACGCTTTGTATCAACACAACTGTCTGGGAAATGTTCCACTACCACCTTCTACTGTTTGGTTCGCTGTCTTAAATTCTGGATTCATTTGAGAGGCAAGCTAATTGAAAGAACCAAAGAGGAGGGAGAGGGTAGGAGGGGAACTGGGGAGAGGAGGCAGAAGGAGAACTGGGGAGAGAGACAGGAGAACTGGGGAGAGAGAGATTTGGGTCAGGAGGAGAGCTAGTGGAGAGGAGGCAGGAGGAGAATTAGAGGATGAAGGGCATGAGGATAAATTTGGGTCAGGTGGAGAACTAGTGGAGATGGGCAGGAGGAGAGCCTGGTGAGATGAGGATGGGAGCAGAAGACATGTGGAGGGAGGAAGAGTCAAGTGAAGGTGATGGCGAATGAGTGGCATGAGAAGAGACTCAGAGGTGGGAGAAAGGGTAAAAGACTGACCATACTGTGAGTGTGGGACATTTGAAAAGACCAGGATATGGGAGAGAGGAACAGAAGGGGAACCTGTGAAGTGATAGAGGGGGCAGCCAGAGAGATTGTCGCTCCTAAGACTGTGACGGAAAAAGACTCAGAGAGTTGGGAGACTATTGGAAAGATGGAGAATGAGATATAAAGACAGGTTCCTGGCGAGAGTGTTCGAGAGACAGTGCATTGGAAATGGGAACAGTACAAGCAGTTTGAATGGATAATCATTATTATAAATGCCAGGTATTACTGAAAAGGCATTATATATGTGTGTAGCAGACTGTGGATAGAAGTAATGAAGGATGAGTTCAAAATTAACAACGAATCCACGTAAAGGAAAAAAGATAGAAATATCTGCCTGCTTCCATCATCCAGGCCCCGGCATTACCTAAACAGTCCCTGGGGTCACCGACACAGGCCCAGCCAGTCTGGTTATTGTGTTTAGTGTCACTATCTGAACGATGGGGTCACGTGTGTCTGATCTCAGGAGAGTCACAGCCACCTCTCAGCACAAGAACTTTCCACAGCTGCCGTGGAGATGCTGCTGCATCCTAAATATAGCAGGGCCAACGGGAGGCTGGGTGGGACGTCACTATATAAGCCCGGGATGAGCCAGACGTGTTCCTTACACAGACATACAGGCACCTGCCAGGAACCGTAGAGCCCTATTCTGCATCCTTCTGTTTGTTTCTGCCGCCAAGTCCACACGATTGACTTCAATGAACCTGAAATCGTCTTCTGCCTTCCGATCGGAGCACAGTTTTAAGCAGACATCCTCTTCGTCATCCACCGGCCAGCCTCGGGAACAGTACATGGACAAGACTTTGGGCATCTTCAGCGATGACTTTGGCAAGTTCCGAAGACCCCTTGGCTTCTCAGGCAAGTTGGACTTGTACATAAATAACCAACAGGTATTCCCAGATTGGAATCTTGATTCAGTGTAATGTCTGCTTCACAGAGATCTGAGATTTATTTTAACCCAAAATCCAGAGTTCAGAAAACGCTGATTTCTCCAACGCGGCCCATAAATAACAGCTGGAGAGTCTTAGATAAACATCTATTCAAACATTAACCGGTTCATTATGATAATGGACAAAAACCTGCGTCCTCTGGTTCTCCACACAATGCCTTGGGTAAAACTATTCCAGACTCTGGCATTTATCACTCTCACTGCGTCGACATCGGGTGGCGGGGGAAGGGGAATAGGAACTTTGCAAAAATATGAGGGTAGATTTATAGCAGCATTTCTAATTGAAAAGCGTGTTCTAAAAGTGGTGTGATCACCATGGAAACCACCGTGGAATGCGCCGGACCCTTTCAATGTTTCTTAACATTTTACGACACTTTTCTGTTTGTGACATAGACCGTATTCCCCACCCCCAGAGCTTTATGGGGAGATTTATCAAGGCTAAACACGTGCAACTTTGGGTGCAAAGTGCTATATGATATGTTACAAATCTATTGGTTTCTATGGCGATTGCTCATCATTTAGCTCTCCCCAGAACAGTACCTGGCTTTGACTTAATAAATCTCGCCATTAACATCTACTTTTCCTACTGGACTAGTTTGTTCTAAAGGTTGCATGTTGATTGTGAACTTGAAAATAAAGTGTCCCTTTGTAATTCAGATACCGTAATCTGTATCCTTCATTCCCCTCATAATTTTATTGCAATCCCAGTCAATCCGAGTGAAGTTGCACAATAGAATCATTAATCTGCTTCTTGTAGTCACAACTCACCCTGCTCGATCAGAGGTGGGTATTGTCAGTACTGATGTTGCATTGACTGGAAAAGCATGATGGAGTCCAGGTTAAGGTTGGTTTAACCCTATCTCTCACCACAAACATAAAGTGAGTTTCTACATGCACAACTAATAACATGTGTTTGTAAAAGTTTAATAATGCCAAGTATTTCATAGGAAGCCCCAGTACAGGTCAGGTTAGTTGTGTTTGTACTTCGCTGTGGAGTATGTTGGTATTAGAGCGCTGGGATGCTAACTGATGAAGTTTAGTGTCAAACTGTGTGTGACCATAAAGGGTTAACTGTGTTAACATGTTTAATGGCCAGGTTCCATATAATGCTTTATGTTTTTATAACTGTTTGATAATTTGCAATGTTTTTGGAATGCTCTGTTTGTGGGACAATACGAATGGAAGTTATAAAAAGATTTAGTATTCAAGGAAGAAAAAACTTCAGTGAGGTTGGCATCCAGGGGCTGCTAACAGTGCTTGGCACCCTGGGTAGCTGCCTCATTTATTGATATAATATGATATGATAGACATAGATTAGCCAGGCACAAACACCACTAGGACAGCAAACTCTGCTGGGCTGTCAGTTTCTTCACTGTAACCACACTGGCACTGCATGATGGCACTGTATCTCTGGCACACTGTATGATGGCACTGTATCTCTGGCACACTGCAGAATGGCATGGTATTACTGGCACACTCTAGGATGGCACTGTATCTCTGGAACATTGCATGATAGCTCTGTATCTTGGTCACACGGCAGGATAACACTGTATCACTGGCACACTGCAGGATAACACTATCTCTGTCTCACTGCAGGATAACACTATATCACTGGCACACTGCAGGATAGCACTGTATTACTGGCACACTGCAGGATAACACTGTATCACTGGCACACTGCAGGATTACACTGTATCTCTGGCTCACTGCAGGATAGCACTATATCACTGGCACACTGCAGGATAACACTGTATCACTGGCACACTGCAGGATTACACTGTATCTCTGGCTCACTGCAGGATAACACTGTATCACTGGTACACTGCAGGATAGCACTGTATCACTGGCACACTGCAGGATAACACTGTATCTGGCGCACTGTATCACTGGCTCACTGCAGGATAGCACTATATCACTGGGACACTGCAGGGTAGCACTGTATCTAGCACACCACAGGATAGCACTATATTACTGGCATACTGCAGGATGGCACTGCATCACTGGCACACTGCAGGGTAACACTGTATCTGGCACACTGTATCACTGGCTCACTGCAGGATAGCACTATATCACTGGGACACTGCAGGGTAGCACTGTATCTAGCACACCACAGGATAGCACTATATCACTGGGACACTGCAGGGTAGCACTGTATCTAGCACACAACAGGATAGCACTATATTACTGGCATACTGCAGGATGGCACTGCATCACTGGCACACTGCAGGATAGCACTGCATCACTGGCACACTGCAGGGTAGTGTTGTCGTCGTTAGAGAGTTCCTACAGGATGATACGGATCACAATATAAGCCAGGCATGCTATATTATTCCTTTAAGTGTAGGCTGCACATGGAGTAAATCCAATGATGCCTTTTCTCTACTCACAGCTGGTTCTGGGGTGTCTGAGAACGTGAAGACTATGGGGAACACCTACCAGTTTGCTGTGGATGTGAGAGATTTCTCCCCAGAGGATATTATTGTCACCACTTCAAACAACCAGATTGAGGTTCATGCAGAGAAGGTGAGAAGGTATATGGTTACAATCATGGGAAGGTCAACTTGGTCATTGGGGTCACAAAGTGTCCCATGTTATTCTACACCGTGTTTCTAGCAAAATAATGTTCCACCTGTACTTTCACTAACCACCCACCCGTACTTCCACTAAACACCCACCTGTACTTCCACTAACCACCCACCCGTACTTCCACTAAACACCCACCTGTACTTCCACTAACCACCCACCCGTACTTCCACTAACCACCCACCTGTACTTTCACTAACCACCCAACTGTACTTCCACTAACCACCCACCCGTACTTCCACTAACCACCCACCCGTACTTCCACTAAACACCCACCTGTACTTCCGCTAACCACCCACCCGTACTTCCACTAACCACCCACCTGTACTTCCACTAACCACCCACCCGTACTTCCACTAACCACCCACCTGTACTTTCACTAACCACCCAACTGTACTTCCACTAACCACCCACCCGTACTTCCACTAACCACCCACCCGTACTTCCACTAAACACCCACCTGTACTTCCACTAACCACCCACCCGTACTTCCACTAACCACCCATCTGTACTTTCACTAACCACCCACCTGTGCTTACATTAAACACCCACCTGTGCTCCCATATTATATTTTATATTACAGTGTATTATAGAAACATAGAAACATAGAATGTGACGGCAGATAAGAACCATTCGGCCCATCTAGTCTGCCCAATTTTCTAAATACTTTCATTAGTCCCTAGCCTTATCTTATAGTTAGGATAGCCTTATGCCTATCCCACGCATGCTTAAACTTCTTTACTGTGTTAACCTCTACCGCTTCAGCTGGAAGGCTATTCCATGCATCCACTACCCTCTCAGTAAAGTTATACTTCCTGATATTATTTTACTGTGTTCATTCCGTTAATATATTTAAATGTTTATATATAGGATGTACACAGTATATTATATATTATATTATATTATAGTTTATATAGGATGAACACAGTATAATATATATAGTATGATATATATTGTATAATATATATAGGATGAACACATGATGTATTGTTTTTAATAATTGTATTTCTTTATTTTATCTTTATAATCTCACATCACAATGCATTTACACTCTATATTGAAACATCGAAACAATTACATGTCAAGCAGAGACAACATTGATAAGACAATTTTGCGATGTGAGAGGTTTTTGCAATTATAGTATTAAACGTAGAAGCTTTCTTAAAACATAAGAAATGACAGCAGTGATACAGCATTAATGCAAGAATATGAAAGCCACTAAACTCCGGTAATGGAATAGCCGAAATATAGCGCAAGACTGAGTAACAATAAAAATTAAACAAACACAACTGAAGAAAAACAAACAAAGTGCCACATGGTAGGTAGTTTCTGTTCACGTTTGCTCTGAGGTCCAAATCACCCAATTCCCAATGTTAGGATACTGCTTACCCACACAGGGCAAATTTCTGCCTACCCAGTCTTAGGGGCGCACTCCTGAAGAACTGTAGCTGGAGATAATATGCTTGAACGGTCCCAGGCCTCAATACAAGCCATCATCCATTGATCTGTCCACTTTCTGGGTAAATCTGCTTTATCAGTGTGACTATCTGCACTAGACCTACCGGGATGTGAGTGGTGCAGGAGAAATTGACTATTCAAGGCTCACGTTTTAGGTAAGCATATCCTGAAATTGGCCACCTGCCATGTGTCCAGGTGGAGGCCCATTCAGTAGGGTGGTCGAGGATCGTAGGAAGGGAACATTGCACTAGCGGAATCAGTTTCATTTATTGTTAAATTGGATAGAAGAAATTAGATTTCTAGCATTTGTGCAATTGGTGCTCGGACTTCCCAAACCAGACTCTCTTCCTTCTGGCTGTAGATAAATGTACAAAAGTGATGTAGGGAAGCAGCGCCGTCAGTTATGTCCTTAAACCCAATTGAGTAAAAGGTGATATGAAATGATAAGAAGACGATAAAACGAGATCTAGTGCAGTAGTTTCATTGCTGATATTAGAAGAAAAGAAATAAATACACATACAATATTCTGGACCTTAAAATTAGCTCCAGATATATTCGCTTGGACGTTATGATCCCCGTCTATGGATATGCTGCATATTTATAGACAGGGATAATACTGCACAAGTGAATACATCATTTTAAGCTCCAGAAAATTGGAAGTGTATTTCTTTCTTTTTAATTTAATATCACCAGCAATGAAAATACTGCACTAGATTTTGTTTTATTGTCATTCCATATCACCCTTTACTCCACTGGATTTGAGGACATTTATTGTTAAATTACTAGTTAATGGTCTCTACCCACGCAGATTGCCATCGTTAGTGTAGTTAGCTTTATAGAGCGATGCTCCTCCTCCATCTCTTCTCTCCGTGTAGCGAACTCGCCTGCAGTGGAGACTGGGATAACCAGGCCCGGACTGGCCATTGGGTACACCGGGCAAATGCATGGTGGGCCGCGGTGGCCATTGGCCGAGGCCGGCAGGGGAGGTCATAGGATCTCCCCTGCCGGTCTATGCAGGGCAGGCACTATCTGAGCGCCAGCCCCGCTGTTTTCCATGACGGGCCGGTGGGGAGATCAAAGATCTCCCTCACCGGCCCTCATGCGGCTGGGGAGGGAGGGAGAGGAGGACCCGGCGGAGCTCTATCTTGCAGCTCCGCCAGGTACCTCTCGGGAGATTGGGAGCATTGCCATGGCAACACCCCCGACCTCGCGAGAGTGAACTCTAGCCTGCTAGAGCTCTTCAGCAGAGCTCTGCGCATGGTCTGCCCTGGAAGAGCATTGAACCAACATTCTCACTTTGAGAGGGGGCGTGTTTGTCATTAGTGATGACAAAACACACCCTCTCTGCCCCGCCCCCTTCTTAGTGGGCTGCTGTGATAAAAAAATGCCCGGGCTGAATTTTTTTCCCAGTCCGGCCCTGGGGGTAACCCCCACAAATGAGGGGTGGAATGGGGGACAGGACTTCTGGATCTGCAAGTCTTTTCAGAAGTGGGAAATGGCTGGCATCCCCCACCATGACAGGTCAGTAGGCCTCAATTTGAAGGAGCCTGGAAAACGCTGAAAAACCTAAACTGGTTCGGTCCATCATTGGATTACAATGTCTGCTGGTTTTAATCGATTGATAAATAAAGCCAAATTGCCAAGTATGAAGCTCCTAGAAAAAGGGACACTAGGACAGAAAAGAGGGACAGACGGATTTAAGCTCAAAATAGGGACTGTCTTTACTAAGTAGGGACACTTGGAAGGTATGTAGCAAATATGGGAGGGTGGCAGCGCTCAGATGTACTTGATAAAAGGGTTTTCATGCCAGGAAGGTGTGTTATGCAGATCTGTACAATAATGGTGACATTATTCAGTTACTGTTGGAATCTATAAAGTATACATACAGTATAAACACATTGTGTCACTGTGTTACATATGTAATGTAGAAAGCATGCCTATAGCATTCCATAGTGTCTGCTACATACAAGCTGTCTCCAAACCGAGCGTGTTTACATACTGACATTCTTCTGCTACCTTTTAAACAATTTCAATTTTTTTTTGTAAGATTTCCAGTTTAAGTTCATCATTTATAATTTCCCCGAACATTTTAAAGTGTTGACGCATTAAACAGGGTTAAAGAATAGCGTTGCTGTGATTACTGCTGATTTAATTATAGATATTTAACATTACAAAGGTCAAAGGAAACATACTTTCAAGAAATTTAATATCCTGACCTGTTGTGAAAACATCTCCTGATTGCAAATTGCCAAGGCTGATGGTATTTATGAAGATTTTATGATTTGTGTAGAAAACATTCTATTCTTTTTATCATTAACCAATGAGTAGAGAGAGTGGAATGATTTATATATATATATATTTACCAATGGGTTTTAGAGATATAACCTACACGTTCTAACAGGATTATTCACTGAGAAGTGTTGCGAATTGAAGGAACACAATAGAAACAGGAATAAAAACGTATTCCTGAGACTATAGTTCTCCATTGTACAGCGCTACGGAATTTGATGGCGCTATATAAATAATAAAATAATAATAATAATAATAAAATACCTATTTAGTCCCCTGGCCCACCCTTACCTTCTGTAAAAAGGAGGTTTACTTACTTTTATTTAAGCACAGCTCAGGTCTCCTCGTGGTTAGCTCCACACTCCAGCCCCTTGGCTGAGATCCTCAAAATTGACAATCTCAGCCAATCCTATCCTTTTCTATAGGAAAGCATTGGGAGGCTAATGCGCATGCGTGGAAAAATGCTGAGCTGCGCCAATCAGTATCTCCTCATAGAGATGCATTGAATCAGTGCATCGCTATGGGGAGTGTTTAGTGTCTCCATGCAGAGCGTGGAGATGCTGAACGTCAATGCTGCACACTGTAGAGCACTCACACAGGAAGGCTCTCTAGTGGCCGTCTGAGTGACTGTCCCTAGAGGTGTTACTAGAAAGCAATGTAAACACGGCCGTTTCTCTAAAAAGGTAGTGTTTACATTAAAAAGCCTGCAGGCACAGGTTATAGACACCAGAACCACCACATTAAGCTGCAGTTGTTCTGGTGACTATAGTGCCTCTTTAAAATGTAAGTTATATTGAAATATAGTTTGACTTTGCAAAATAATCTCACTTTAGAGAACAACCCAGCTAAAAACAAAAATGCAAGTGTGATAAATAGCAGAGAAACCGTTGTGTCTTTTTACTATTTGGATACCCATAGCATAAGAGGAGATGAGAGTTCATTCTTCTAGCCATTAAAACTCAAAAAATTGTGTCTGTTTAGTATTTGTATTCTCAGAGTTCCAAATACCTGTTGTTTTCTACATGACTGACAAACTGTCTCAATATGCTCGCAGCTAGCCCCTGATGGGACAATCATGAACACCTTCACGCACAAATGTCAGCTCCCGGAAGATGTGGATCCTACCACGGTGAACTCTGCCCTGGGAGAAGATGGCATGCTCACTGTCAAGGCTCAGAGGAACTCTTCCAAGCACACGGACCACCTGAAAGAAACCTTCCGGACTGAGATTAAAATCTAAATGCGTGCCACGGAATCTTCTGCCACGTAAAGAACTGTTTGACGGTTTGATGGTTTCACAAAAATGTTCCCTAAAGATTATTGCAAAGTTTGCATCCACCCTCGTGTTCTTCACATTTATGGGCACCCCCGAAAATAATTGATCATAGCGTGGACACCCTTGAGACGTGGTGGTCATAGTAGGTGTGTATCTCACAGAAAAGAGATTTGCTTTTCAGACCATCACAAATAGTGTGTGTGTGTGTTGTGGTGAATGGTAATGAATAATATCACATCGCCGCAATTAGCAATTTAGTGTGGACATTCCATATAATTCAGAAAGGTGGGCATGGGAATCGAGCAAACTGATTTATAGTCTGTGTAAAAGGAAAGAATATTATTAGGATACGATTCTATTACATGGTATTGAAAAATGATTTCTTCCATGATTTATTATTAATTGTTGCACCTAATCTGAAATAAAATATGTCAGAAATAATACATTTTGAAAAAAAGCAAACATAAAACAAATCAGATTGGATAAAAGATTTTGAAATCTAAATCTAAATTTTAATAATAATTAGATATGCTAACAAATAAATGCTGGTTTCTGTAAATAAAGAATTGTACAAAAAGTGGTTTCTGTGAACTTGTTTTAAATAACCAGTGTCAAATAAGTGCGATCTACTCTGTGTAAATCGCGGAAGCGACCTCTAGTGGCTGTCAGATTAACCCTGAAATGTAAACATAGGGAAATCTCTGAAACTGCTATGTTTACAGCTGCAGGGCTAAAACCTGGGCGGCCTGGCACCCAGACCATTTCATTGAGCTGAAGTGGTCTGGGCGCCTATAATGGTCCTTTAACATCACTTCCAAATCCCGTCCTCCTACCAACATTAACGAATAAAAGTGACATTTCTACTGATACAATGTAAAGTTATTTGTGTGTAATGGCCCCATTAGAATCCATTAGACCCAGTGGGGTAACTTCACAGGAGGCCATTCTAGACAGTCTGCGTTATTGGGTGCTTCTTATGGTTTTTCTTGGATTGAGTTTGACAAAGGTCCCATTAATCCCAGTAATGTGTTTTGAAGGGATTGTTTCCATGTAACGTTCCTACCCCCTGGCAGGTCAGTTGGTGATGAAAATGAAGGAGATTAAGAAGGGAAGTTGGTGGAGACTAAGTATCAGTGGGTCAGTGAGGAGGTGTCTCATGGCAGAGGGGCTCATGGCAGAGGGGCTCTGGTACCTGATTGTTACACAATATATAAAAGCTGAGAGATGAAGAGGCTGTATGTGAGCACAAGAGGAAAATGGAGGCTGGTAGATGAGTGGAACTGAGGGGGAGGCTGTGAGAGACAGAGGAAGGCAGGTGAGTATGAGCATCTGTCAGTGTGAGGGAGGGAGGCTGTGAGTGCGAGTACCAGTCAGTGTGAGGGAGGGAGGCTGTGAGTGCGAGTACCAGTCAGTGTGAGGGAGGGAGGCTGTGAGTATCTGTTAGTTTGAGGTGAGGAGGCTGTGAGTGTGAGTATCTGTCAGTGTTAGGGAAGGAGGCTGTGAGTATCTGTCAGTGTGAGGGAGGGAGGCTGTGAGTATCTGTCAGTGTGAGGGAAGGAGGCTGTGAGTATCTGTCAGTGTGAGGGAGGGAGGCTGTGACTGCGAGTACCAGTCAGTGTGAGGGAGGGAGGCTGTATCTGTTAGTTTGAGGTGAGGAGGCTGTGAGTGTGAGTATCTGTCAGTGTGAGGGAAGGAGGCTGTGAGTATCTGTCAGTGTGAGGGAAGGAGGCTGTGAGTATCTGTCAGTGTGAGGGAAGGAGGCTGTGAGTATCTGTCAGTGTGAGGGAGGGAGGCTGTGAGTGCGAGTACCAGTCAGTGTGAGGGAGGGAGGCTGTGAGTATCTGTTAGTTTGAGGTGAGGAGGCTGTGAGTGTGAGTATCTGTCAGTGTGAGGGAAGGAGGCTGTGAGTATCTGTCAGTGTGAGGGAAGGAGGCTGTGAGTATCTGTCAGTGTGAGGGAAGGAGGCCGTGAGTATCTGTCAGTGTGAGGGAGGGAGGCTGTGAGTGCGAGTACCAGTCAGTGTGAGGGAGGGAGGCTGTGAGTATCTGTTAGTTTGAGGTGAGGAGGCTGTGAGTGTGAGTATCTGTCAGTGTGAGGGAAGGAGGCTGTGAGTATCTGTCAGTGTGAGGGAGGGAGGCTGTGAGTATCTGTCAGTGTGAGGGAGGGAGGCTGTGAGTGTGAGCATCTGTCACTGTAAGGTGAGGAGGCTGTGAGTGTGAGTACCAGTCAGTGTGAAGGAGGGAGGCTGTGATTATCTGTCAGTGTGAGGGAAGGAGGCTGTGAGTATCTGTCAGTGTGAGGGAGGGAGGCTGTGAATGTGAGTATCTGTCAGTGTGAGGGAGGCTGTGAGTGTGAGTATCTGTCAGTGTAAGGTGAGGAGGCTGTGAGTGTGAGTATCGGTCAGTGTGATTGAAGGAGGCTGTGAGTGTGAGTTTCTGTTGGTTAGTTATTCTGAGTGAGAACTTGGGTGAGTGTACTGTGAGTGTAAGTGTCTGTCAGTTGGAGGGAAGGAGGCTGTGAGTGTGAGTTTCTGTTGGTTAGTTATTCTGAGTGAGAACTTGGGTGAGTGTACTGTGAGTGTAAGTGTCTGTCATTTGGAGGGAAGGAGGCTGTGAGTGTGAGTTTCTGTTGGTTAGTTATTCATAGTGAGTGTACTGTGAGTGGGAGTGTCTAGATATTGAGACGAACGAGCTATTTCCAGTATTGTAATTACGATGTGAGTCTCCAGTTTCCCCTGGGAAATGGCTCTTCTATAACTTCTATTGTCAATAAATTATATCTTTGCTTTTGTGTCATGTTAAACAATTTGTATTCTCTCTCTGTCTGTGTGTTATTTGTCTCTACATGGTTATTACAAGGTTATTACAAGGTTATTACAAGGTCATTCGTTCATCATAAACTAATAAATTGTCAGTCTGGATCAGGAAGGACTCTACTTTCGTTTAATTAACATGTCCATTATTAGTACATCCTATTCCTAATGGCAGTGGTCAAAGTGATCAATTTAATGAGTAAACTGCAACAAGCTCTTAAAATAATGTTAATTAATATTTACATCATTTTATTTCAATAAACTTCACTGAAATTGAGTGTGAAATGAGATAGCTCAGTAGATAAGACTGCATCAACATCTCAGAATGACAAGTTTGGGTCCTGGAAAAAACCATTTGATAACAGACCCTTTGCAAATTAGTGACAAGCTAACAGAACCTCTTCTGCTTAAACAGTATAGGATGGCATGTGGTAATACCAGTGCCTGCCTGGAGGTGGCAGTGCTCTCATTGCAGGGAATTCACACCCTCCTTTTTTGGCTAAGGGTCTGTCCCATATCTGGCTATTAATAGGAGCTGGACAATGGAAACAGGGCTGAATGAAATAGGACACCTGAAGGTCACCTTGAGACAGTGACAGAGAATGCCATTCAGAGGGAGCTGGGACAGGGAGGGCCCTATATCACAGACACACAGGGAGTTAATCACTAAATGGTGTATTGGGACATCACAAAAAGCAAACTAGATTATTTTAACAAAAAGTGCTGATTGGAAAAGGTCTCCGTTAATTTTACCGAAATGTTTATGTTCATCTTTTCATTCAATACAATGTATTATGTAGACCTCTCATTCCCAGTAACATTGTATTTACAAATCAAGACACTTCTAGTGACAGACAGGGGCTGTGATTACTGCTACCAGCACACAAACGGTTAATGCTGTCATTTTATTTTATTATTTTAAATCATTTCAGAAAGTTCTATCCAATTCTGTAATGGTAAACTACATTTTGAAGTTTGGTTTTCAATTGACTGCAATTCAGGGTTTAGTGAACTATCCACTTTGCCATTTCTCAATTCTGTTTTCTGTTACAAAAATATTAAAACACAAAGACTTTTTCTCCTTCTTCCCAATTCATCTATCAGGGGTACATTTAGTACATTTAGTATTGAGAAGATAAAGGCGACTCACTGTTAATAGATGTGATTTCCACATGCACTAAATATAGATGTACAAGCAGTTCAGTGGAATTTTAACAAGTGTCCCATAATACATTGTGGGTCTGCCAGTGAGGTGTCATGTCGCCCCCTGGCTGTGAGAGTGTTGCCAGGGCTGTGATGGTGCTGTTTATGGGCACTCCAGCTGTCTGAGTCATGCCAGATCCCATTTCATAGCAAGCGATGAGTGGACAGCAGGGAGAGTGTGACTGGGGATTGTGAGACCTTCTTAGGACCTTTCATGGCATTAAAAGTCTATCTGGTACATTAAGATATGGATGTCAATTGCTGCAATATGTATTTTAAGGAGAGATATTTTCCAATTATGGTGTAGGTGACAGAATGAAAAAGGGTATTTTATGTTTTGTTACCCAACAGGGTATTATTCTGGGTAAAATATTGTCCCTGGAAAATGTGAATGATATCAAGCAGTGTTAGCCAGCTGTCTGTTAGTGTGTTAGCAAGCTGTCAGTGCTGTTAGCAAGCTGTCTGTTAGTGTGTTAGCAAGCTGTCTGTCAGTGCATGTTAGCAAGCTGTCTGTTAGTGTGTGTTAGCAAGCTGTCAGTGCTGTTAGCAAGCTGTCTGTTAGTGTGTTAGCAAGCTGTCTGTCAGTGCATGTTAGCAAGCTGTCTGTTAGTGTGTTAGCAAGCTGTCTGTCAGTGCATGTTAGCAAGCTGTCTGTTAGTGTGTTAGCAAGCTGTCTGTCAGTGCATGTTAGCAAGCTGTCTGTTAGTGTGTTAGCAAGCTGTCTGTCAGTGTGTGTTAGCAAGCTGTCTGTTAGTGTGTTAGCAAGCTGTCTTTTAGTGTGTTAGCAAGTTGTCTGTTAGTGCTTGTTAGCAAGCTGTCTGTCAGTACGTGTTATCAAGCTGTCTGTAAGTGTGTTACAAAGCTGTCTGTTAGTGTGTGTTAGCAAGCTGTCTGTTAGTGTATTAGCAAGCTGTCTGTCAGTGCGTGTTAGCAAGCTGTCTGTTAGTGTGTTAGCAAGCTGTCTGTTAGTGTGTGTTAGCAAGCTGTCTGTCAGTGCGTTTTAGCAAGCTGTCTGTTAGTGTGTTAGCAAGCTGTCTGTCAGTGTGTGTTAGCAAGCTGTCTGTTAGTGTGTTAGCAAGCTGTCTGTTAGTGCGTGTTAGCAAGCTGTCTGTTAGTGTGTTAGCAAGTTGTCTGTTAGTGCTTGTTAGCAAGCTGTCTGTCAGTACGTGTTATCAAGCTGTCTGTGTGTTACAAAGCTGTCTGTTAGTGTGTGTTAGCAAGCTGTCTGTTAGTGTATTAGCAAGCTGTCTGTCAGTGCGTGTTAGCAAGCTGTCTGTTAGTGTGTTAGCAAGCTGTCTGTTAGTGTGTGTTAGCAAGCTGTCTGTCAGTGCATTTTAGCAAGCTGTCTGTTAGTGTGTTAGCAAGCTGTCTGTCAGTGTGTGTTAGCAAGCTGTCTGTTAGTGTGTTAGCAAGCTGTCTGTTAGTGCGTGTTAGCAAGCTGTCTGTTAGTGTGTTAGCAAGTTGTCTGTTAGTGCTTGTTAGCAAGCTGTCTGTTAGTGTGTTAGCAAGCTGTCTGTTAGCGTTTGTTAGCAAGCTGTCTGTTAGTGTTTGTTAGCAAGCTGTCTGTTAGTGTTTTAGCAAGCTGTCTGTTAGTGTGTTAGCAAGCTCAGAACAGGGATCTGTACTTGGACCCATTCTCTTTAATATTTTTATTAGTGATATTGCAGAAGGTCTTGATGGTAAGGTATGTCTTTTTGCTGATGATACTAAGATATGTAACAGGGTTGATGTCCAGGAGGGATAAGCCAAATGACAAATGATTTAGGTAAACTAAAAAAAATGGTCAGATTTGTGTCAACTGACATTTAATGTGGACAAGTGCAAGATAATGCATCTTGGATGTAAAAACCCAATGGCAGAGTACAGAATATTTGATAGAGTTCTAACCTCAACATATGAGGAAAGGGATTTAGGGGTGATTATTTCTGATGACTTAAAGGTAGGCAGACAATGTAATAGAGCAGCAGGAAATGCTAGCAGAATGCTTGGTTGTATAGGGAGCATAGGCGTGCACAGCCTATTGCATTAGGGTGTGCACCCTAAAGCACAAACACACGCCACGCGCGTGTGTGTGTGTATGTATCTATCTATATATACACACACACACACACACTGCTGTGTGTGCTGTTAGTGTGCTGTGTGCTGTTAGTGTGATGTGTGTGTGAGGGTGCGTGTTTGTGACTGTGCTGTTTGTGTGTGAGGTGTTTGTGTGTGTATGTTTGTCCTGTGAGGATGCTGTTTGTGAGGGTGCTGTTAGTGTGCTGTGTGTGAGGGTGTTGTGTTTTTTTTAAAGGTGCTGTGTGTGTTTGTGAGGGTGCGGTTAGTGTACTGTGTGTGTGTGAGCTGTATGTGTGTAGGTGCTGTATGTGTGTGTGCTGTATGTTTGGAGGGATTTGGCAGATTAGTAAATCCTTGCTGCCATGTGCCATCCCTGGTGGTCCAGTGGAGAGTGAACTCTAGCCTGTGGGGCTAGGGTTAACTCTCACGAGATCTGAGCGTTGCTGCAGCAACGCTCAGATATGGCGAGAGGAACCTGGCGGAGCTTCTGTCTAGAGCAGCCTGGGTCCTCTACTGCCTCCCTCCATGCTGCTGTGGGCCGGTGAGGTAGATCTTTGGTCTCCCCGCCGGCCCATGAAGGCTTAGAGCAGAGCCGGCACTCAGATAGCGCTGGCTCTGCGTGTGTGTGTGTGTATATATATATATATATATATATATATATATATACATACACGTACACACACTCACAGACACACACACATACATACTCACAGACACACACACACACACACTGACACACACACATACTCACATACACTGACACACACACATACTCACAGACACACACTCACAGACACTCACACACACACACTGACACACACACATACTCACAGACACTCACACACACTGACACACACACACACACAAATTATTATATTTTAATTTAAAAAAAAAATGTCCACCCAGCCTCCTACCTGGAGTGCTGGTGGACTTGTCCCTGGGGTCCAGTGGGGGCAGGCGCCTTTCTCCAGCTGAGCCGCGGCGAGGGAGCTCTCTGCTGTCTGCTCTCTGCTCCCTCTCGCCGCGCGGGCTGTCTGCTGGAGCTGGGAGCCGGAATATGACGTCATATTCCGGCTCCCGGCATCAGCGCGCGGCGAGAGGAAGCAGAGAGCCGACAGCAGAGAGCTCCCTTGCCGCGCGCTGAACGGGTGGGGAATCCATCACCTCTTGCCCCCCCCTCTATGACAGGGGCAAGAGGTGAAACAGGGGGCACTGAGTGCCTGCAGGAAAAGCGTTCCTGCTCAAAAAAAGTGCAGGAACGCTGTTCCTGCAGGACTCAAACCATAGGCGTGCCACGGGGATTAGGGTGTGCCCAGGCACACCCGGCACACCCCGTGCGCACGCCTATGATAGGGAGAGGTATTAGCAGTAGAAAGAGGGAAGTGCTCATGCCATTGTACAGAACACTGGTGAGACCTCACTTGGAGTATTGTACGCAGTACTGGAGACCGTATCTTCAGAAGGTTATTGATACCTTAGAGAGAGTTCAGAGAAGGGCTACTAAACTGGTTCATGGATTGCGGGATAAAACTTACCAGGAAAGGTTAAAGGATCTTAACATGTACAGGGAGTGCAGAATTATTAGGCAAGTTGTATTTTTGAGGATTAATTTTATTATTGAACAACAACCATGTTCTCAATGAACCCAAAAAACTCATTAATATCAAAGCTGAATATTTTTGGAAGTAGTTTTTAGTTTGTTTTTAGTTATAGCTATGTTAGGGGGATATCTGTGTGTGCAGGTGACTATTACTGTGCATAATTATTAGGCAACTTAACAAAAAACAAATATATACCCATTTCAATTATTTATTATTACCAGTGAAACCAATATAACATCTCAACATTCACAAATATACATTTCTGACATTCAAAAACAAAACAAAAACAAATCAGTGACCAATATAGCCACCTTTCTTTGCAAGGACACTCAAAAGCCTGCCATCCATGGATTCTGTCAGTGTTTTGACCTGTTCACCATCAACATTGCGTGCAGCAGCAACCACAGCCTCCCAGACACTGTTCAGAGAGGTGTACTGTTTTCCCTCCTTGTAAATCTCACATTTGATGATGGACCACAGGTTCTCAATGGGGTTCAGATCAGGTGAACAAGGAGGCCATGTCATTAGATTTTCTTCTTTTATACCCTTTCTTGCCAGCCACGCTGTGGAGTACTTGGACGCGTGTGATGGAGCATTGTCCTGCATGAAAATCATGTTTTTCTTGAAGGATGCAGACTTCTTCCTGTACCACTGCTTGAAGAAGGTGTCTTCCAGGAACTGGCAGTAGGACTGGGAGTTGAGCTTGACTCCATCCTCAACCCGAAAATGCCCCACAAGCTCATCTTTGATGATACCAGCCCAAACCAGTACTCCACCTCCACCTTGCTGGCGT